ACGTTCATGGACGGTGGAACGAGCTGGTCTACTGCTCATCCACCTCCATGGCAGTCTCACCCGCGGCGACGGAGCCCTCGTCCTCGACGTTCTCGTCGTCGACGTTCTCGTCGTCGACTTTCCCGTCGTCGGCGTTCTTGTCGCCGGCAGACCCGTCTTCTTCACCCTCCGCGTCTTCACCCGAATCGGCCTTGGTGGACTCGGCCGAGGTCTCGCTGTAGTTGTCAGAAAAATCCAAGACCTGTAAAACGGCTTGGGACGACGACGCAACAGGAGGCGGCGATGGCGAAGGCTGGGGCGACGAAGAGGGCGCACGGGTACGACTACTCGCCAAGTGCGCGACGTCGATCTCGTGGTCCTCGAGGGGCTGGAAGGCTTGATCCTGGATGGTCGCGGGGTCCGACTTGTCGAATTCCTGGGCCTTCTCGATCTCCCTCTGGAACTCCTTCTCCATCTTTTCCATCTCGCGATAGAAAAAGGGATCGAAGAAGGCAGGGGGTGCTGCGAACCGCTCGTTCGCCTCGCCATCCAACAATTCTCCGTGGGCCAAGATCATCCGAACACCCTTGCGGATGTCGGCCATCTCGGCGGCGTCGATCTCGGTCGCGGTGTGGACGAACATCGCCTTGATGCGTTCGTCTGAGCCGTCGTCGAAGTGCTCCTTCAGCTGACCAACGAAATCACGGAACTGGCCAATGGCCAGGACGCGGATCTCGTTAGCCGTGCGAAGAAGCCCGCCGTACGCGTCCAAAGTGTCGGCGAGACGGTTGGCGGACTTGTTGAGATCTGAAGACGTCGTCAGAAACGATCAAAAATAGAAATGAACGAAGAGAGCGGACTCGTACCATCCGCGCTCATCTGCGCGATATACCCGAAGCGTTGCCCCATATACAGCTGCTCCGCGGGCTTGTAGCCGTTGGTGCAAGTCTGTTTATAGAGCACGCACGGGGCGCACCGATTGCCGTGGCGCCCGTCGACGCTCTTGAAGCAGACGCGCTGCCGCGTCACGCACATCGCGCAGGGCCTTGGCGCGACCTCCTATGAAAAGGGAATCAGTCGTCGAGGCATGGCAGAAAAAGATAAAGGAACGCACAAAGTCTGTTGGCACCTCGACGCCGGCCCTTTCCAACTTCCCCGCGAACCCTTGGCGTGCCACCGAAAGGAGCGCCTCGGTGTCGTAGGCGGCGGGAGTGAACGGAGCTCGGGGCGTGGGGGCCGACGCCTTCGCAGGAGTCTAGAAACAGTCAAGTCAGTAAAAAGTCGACGACAAGAAAAGTCGCGACTCACCGAGTCAGATTTCTTCTTGACCGCCGCAACGGACTTTTCTGCCTTCTGAGCCTTGAGCTCGGCCTTGGCCGCCGCAACACTCCGCTCGCGACCAAGGGTCGCGGCCACCCTGCCCAACTCACTGCGTGGAGTCTTGGTAACGGCGGGGGCCGCCTGGGCAACCTAGAAAAGAAAGAAAAACGAGTTAGTCGACGTCTGGGAACCAAGATCTGTGTCTCACCTTAGCCACTGGGGTCGGGGTAGTCGTCGCTCGCGGGGCGCTCGCCTTGCGACTGGCCTCCACCTTGGGCACCGGATGGGGAGGCACGGACTTGGTCGACTTGGATGATCCATCCGCGACCTTCTTGATTGGCTAAAAAGCTGGATTAAGGGGCGTGGTCTGGGAAAAAGGAGTCGGCTTACCTTGGGCTTGACGCGGGTCTCGCTGACCTGCTTCTTGGCCACGACGAAGTCGCCGGTCTCCTCTCCACTCTCGGAGGTGTCGTCCATGACGATGACGGACGGGGCTACGAAAGTATGAGTAATTGACAGAGGGGGACAAGAGGAAAAACGTACTCAGATTCGATCGCGCTTTCCCCTTGGACTTGGGCCCCTGTCAAAACAAACCAACCATGAGACGAAGGAACCGCGATCGACGAACTGGGTCACTTACCTGAAGGGCCAGCTCGTCGGCCGAGGACGCGTCTCCCTCCTGGACCCCTTCGTCGTCGACATCCATCGCAGTGTCGGCGACGGCGGCGGCTTCCTCATCGCTGAGGGACTCGGGCTGCACAGGCTGTGCTTGGATCCGGGCTGGGAGGGACCAAGTGGTTAGTCTAAAGATCAATGAAATAAGACATAGGATCACACACCTGCGTGCGTCTTCTTGTGGACGCGCTTGGGAGGTGACCCCTGTGGAATAGGGACCGAGGTAGCGGCTACGACAAGTCAGTACCCGCGACTCTGGTGAATGAAAGGAAAGAGCCACTTACGAGTAGGCGTGTGGGACGACGCCTTGGGCTCCTTTGCAGGAGTCGCCTTGGGTCGCTTCCCCTGCGACTTCTCGCTCGACTTCTTGGCAACGGCGACCTTGCTGCCCGCGACGGCGGCAGGGGCCTGCGGCTTGGAGCCGTCACCCTTCCCCTTCTGCTTGGCAGGCCGGGACGACGAATGGGCGGCGACTTGTTCGGTTGGAGCCGCCTGGGAGTCGATCAGAACATAGTGAAACGAACGAAATAGAGTATACGTACGGGCTCGACGACTCGCTTGCGTTTCTTCGGCGGCAACGACTCCTCGACTGGAGCGTTGGTGGTCAAGGGCGTAGACGCCGGCTAGCCCTTACGTTAGTGAAAAGAATGGAAGGCCAAAGCAAACAGGCGCGGCAATCATTGATTGCCGTGACTGCTCGCTCCAGCGGGCTTAGAACGGAGCTCACCTGCTGAATCTGGCGGACGTCGACGGTCATCTGCCGCAACATCTGGTTGTAGGCCTCGGGGCTAGGCAGGTGGTGAGTTGGATCGACAAGCCATGGGAGAGACCTTGACGGACGGCATGAACTGCCGCCAGTCGATGGCAGGCAGGTTTGCTCCTGGGACAGCTGATTCGGTGACGGCTGATGGATGGTTAGCGTGGTTGAAAAGTCGCGGTAACCGTCTTGGGCGTCACTCACGGTTGGTGTCTTGGGGGCGGGGGCTCTGGTCGGGCGCGGACATGGTGGTCGAAAGGCAAGAGTGTCTCGTACTAGGGAGACTCTCGACCCTGAAAATTGAGGGCATTTATATGGTGAACATGCCGGAAGAAGTTTGATCGCAGCAAATCACGGAAGGAACCGAACAACCAAATGAATAAGACGTGGGAACATAACTCTATGTCTCCGCGGCTTTAATAATAAATGAATGAGACGTCGACTGTTGGACTTAGACCTGACGCAGTGAGACTGTCGCGGGATTGACCAGGAGGTCAAAATTAGTGTTCCTGGGAGATGATAGGCTGGCTACCAGACGCGCTCTGCACCAACTCTGTAAGGGCGTATTTTTGCGCTTTTACAGAGTTTACTCTTGAACCACTCGGTGTATCGTGTCGCGGTTGACAGTGTTGCGCTCAGTAGGACTTAAGGGTCTACTGCCCAGTCGACGACTGTGGACAGTGTCGACGATAGCAAGGCAGTCAGATCACTACTGTGGAATTGGTCTTATGAGTCTACACCAGGCTCAGGGCCATTAGTGACGAACGCTTGGACCGCGACCATTCCCCCAAAAAGGGATCTGTCATTGCGTCGACTTCTCGAAAAGGGTCATTCTCTGCAGATGGGAACTTGGGCTGAAGGGCTGAGCAATGCGCGACGTTCTCAATAATACAACTACTACTGGACAGGACTTGGCGTTACGAGACTTAAACCATCTTGTCGCGGCAACTCCCGGTTCTGAGTTGGACGTTTCCTCAGATCATGCCACGACGACGACTTGTCACATGTCAGGATCCATTCGATCACGGGACATTGAGGACGCGTCGCGGTGACACTCCCAAGTGCCACGGCGATTCGCGTCAACACCCAAACACACTAGAAATTGACACGGCTAGATCCGTGAGCCGAACCATGTGGGGGACGACTGGCGTGCCTAGGGCCATACGGCTTCTTGGGGCGCCCACGTTGGTCTCACATGCCAAGACATACCCATTGGCCAATCCAGCACGTCGTATTCCAAAAGTATGACGCGGTGGGTTGACCCACATCAAAAGTATCATATGGACTATGGGGCGGGGTCCTGATCACTCAGGACCTGTCCGATCGTTCAACTTTTCAATTACCCTAAAAGGCAACCGATCTTAGATAGCGTAGCTACTATGCAGTTGTACAGGACTTTACTAAGCACCGTCGTAGACAGTATAAGTAGCACGTCGTTTCTTTGTATTAGAAAGCTTTCCCCCGGACTGTGAATCACTCTCATTTCAGATTGTTTTGCACAATTTGCGTGCCGCGTGATTCCACCCTAAGAAGTTCTGCCACCCCTGCCCGGTCGCGACGAGTTGCTCCCTGAGCACTTGTAGCTACTGTGATTTGAGTTTGAGTTGAGATATCAGAAAGTCGGATTCGCCGCATCTGGTATTGTCGCGGCATTTAGTGTCGTCGCCTTCGGGCTTTGTTGAGATCGTTCCACACCTCTAGTTTGGCAGTGCGTCGACTAGTTGTGCTCGGGTTGTTTTGGTCAGTTGGCAGTGCGTCGACTTGACATTTTGGTTCTACTAGTTGGCAGTGCGTCGACTCAGTACTTTTGGTTGTGTCAGTTGGCAGTGCGTCGACTTGACATTCTGGTTCTACTAGTTGGCAGTGCGTCGACTCAGTATATTGGTTGTATCAGTTGGCAGTGCGTCGACTTGATATTTGGGCTTTGCGTCACCATCTGGACGCTGTCGCTACAAGGGATCTTAATACTTCGTATTAAGTTCTGACTTGTTATATTGTTGGTTGTGGATTGGATTAGTGTTGGTTGTGTTTGTATAGAAGATATTGGTTGAGACACCACTGTTTGCTATATATATATATCCTTGTCGTCGACTTCGTCTTCCGCGACTATTGGATCTGCGTCTATTGAGAGCTGTGATACTGGTGTTCTGTCCACCCCGAAGCCCTCGCATCTTTCACACACTGAGAAGCTGATTACGAGGAGTGTGAACGTGTTTATATTTGGGTTTACTTTCATAGTAGATTCACTTGTGAGCACGCCCTCAGCATTTCAGCGGGGCTGGTAGTCGCGGTCGCGCCCGGCGTCATCATCGTCGCCAGCGCTCGTTTTTGTCGGTACCGTCTTGCTGCTTGTCGTCGCAGGCTGGGTGCTCTTTTGTGCTGATTTTTCCTTTCCGTTCGCTGTGTTCCCGGTTGCGTTGGTAGAGCTAAGTGAGTGTGAGAGAAAGAGCAAACAACGAGCGACATTACGTACCAAAGATGACGCAATTCGGCGACCATTTGCTGGAGCTTGATCGGTGCAATGCCCAATAAGTTGTCCTCGGAGTCCCATTGGATAGATGCGAGGTATGCAACTACAAGATCCATCCCCTCCTTCCCTCGACGGATGTACTTCATTCTCCCACCCTCGTCCCGGCAATCCTCTCCGAAAAGAATGTCAAAACGGCGATTGAAAACGGACGCCACTGTGTCATCGTCGGCAGGTGTTGATGTAAGAACACGGAGAATCTTGTTGTCATCAATATTCGGCTCGGGGACGGAGTCTGGGAGCCGCGGGACAAGGTGTGTGATCTCTTTGACAATAGCAACAAGGTGCTTCACTGTGTGAATATGTCAGCCACGAAGACAGACTTGACATGTCCACATACGCGCAACACCCCGTTGCCGTTGTGCATTGCGGGCTTCGGCATTATTCTTGTCGATGATTTTGGCTGATGGAACACGGGTGCGGGCAGGTAGCAAGGAGTGAACAGGAGGAGGAGCAGACATGAGTGGAAGCCCAAGGGTGCAGAAAAAGATCAATACACAATGTGTTGGGTCACAATCCTGTCACACTTTTTTATTCACATGATGTCTGTGCCTTCATCATGCAAGATGCAATACAGGGCCTAGATGGCGAGTCTCAGGCTAACGATTTCAGTCATAGGGTCTACTCGGCAATCTCTCTGTAGAGATGCTAGTAAATAGATGACAATCAGAGAACAACGGCCAGGTCGGGCCATGTACTTCATATCTAATCTTGACTACTCTAATCTTAGCTTGATTGTCCCAGATGTAACTCTGTTTGTGCGCAATCCACAGGCAATGTCTTGCAGAGTCCATTTCAAGCACAAATTGGAACTGTTTTAACTGTTTATTTACTATATGTTTACCGTTTGAGGACTCTCACAAATTAAATAGAAACAAAAACAGTTATAACTGTTTAAAATATTTATAAACAGAAACAGTTGGAGCCTTATCAGGAGAAATGGTTGTCCGGAAAGTCAAACTCTCAAATTTCTGGATTTCTGATGCACCGAAAATTTGGATCACGCTGCCGGATTGATTGCCCATGGAGGCCCGCAACAGCATGCTGATATGTGAGGACTTCTCCCTTGTAAGCGGCGAGTTCGATCATTGATCGGTGATCTATTGGGTTTCATCACATGTTCGTGAATCAGGACCCCATGCACCAGGCCTTGTGCAGTTCGTTTTCCAGAACTAGCTTAGAGATTATGTAGGTAGATACAGTTTATTCACTTAATAAAGCAGTAAGGCCAACAAGCAGCAGGGTCCGGTCCCGTGTTTGGGAGTCATGTGATCAGAAGGCTGTGCTAGAGACACCGAGAAACACATTTCTGGGCGTCTCCAGCACAGCCACTCAATCTCATATTTAGCTTGCTCATAGGTAGCCTGCTGGTCCTTCAATTCAACAAATAGTTTTGGGATAATTAGGGAACTAGCTTAGAGACTATGTAGGTATATAATCGCATGTTGCTATTGTACCTTTTAGCGTCGGTAGTGATTCTAGAGAACACAAGAAGGGTCTGAAATAAACTCAAAACTACCATTCATTGGCGTTAGCAAGCTCCTTGGGGCCTTCCTCATCCAAAAACCATGCAAATAGCTCATCTTCGTCATCAAGCATCTGCTTGTCAACTTTGGGCTCTATATCATTGATGAGCTCATTCAGGTGTCTGTTGTGTGCATGATCTATCACGATAACAGTGTGAAAGCTGGATTCAGGTGCAAAAATCAGACATACCAAGACCACTGCCGCTATTGACACCACCCATGTAACAGTTCTTTCTAAGTATTTCCTCTCCACCTCAAAGTTCTCTGTATCCGGGTAGGAGTGGAATTATTTCCTGCATATTGTTATCTCCCTGGCAAAGTGTATAACCCCATCTCTTGTCTACACTCTGATTCACCCCAGAAATATCATCAAGCTGCTTGCACTGGTATACAAGTTGCAAATAAACATCCCAACAGCTCTGCCGTGTAACTGCAGGGGATCTGATCTTGGCGTTGAAATGCTGAGGGCGTGGTCACAAGTGAATCTACTATGAAAGTAAATCCAAATATAAACACGTTCACACTCCTCGTAATCAGCTTCTCAGTGTGTGAAAGATGCGAGGGCTTTGGGGTGGACAGAACGCCAGTATCACAACTCTCAATAGACGCAGATCAATAGTCGCGGAAGACGAAGTCAACGACAAGAATTTATATATAGCAAACAGTGGTGTCTCAACCAATATCTTCTATACGAACACAACCAACACTAATCCAACCAAAACCAACAATATAACAAGTCAGAACTTAATACGAAGTATTAAGGTCCCTTGTAGCAACAGCGTCCAGATGGCGACACAAAGCCCAAATATCGAGTCGCCGCACTGCCAACCGATACAACCAATATACTGAGTCGACGCACTGCCAACTAGTAGAACCAAAATGTCAAGTCGACGCACTGCCAACTGACCAAAACAACCCGAGCACAACTAGTCGACGCACTGCCAAACTAGAGGTGTGGAACGATCTCAACAAAGCCCGAAGGCGACGACACTAAATGCCGCGACTAAACCAGATGTGGCGAATCCGACTTTCTGATATCTCAACTCAAACTCAAATCACAGTAGCTACAAGTGCTCAGGGAGCAACTCGTCGCGACTGGGCAGGGGTGGCAGAACTTCTTAGGGTGGAATCACGCGGCACGCAAATTGTGCAAAACAATCTGAAATGAGAGTGATTCACAGTCCGGGGGAAAGCTTCTAATACAAAGAAACGACGTGCTACTTATACTGTCTACGACGATGCTTAGTAAAGTCCTGTACAACTGCATAGTAGCTACGCTATCTAAGATCAGTTGCCTTTTAGAGTAATGAAAAGTTGGACGATCGGACAGGTCCTGAGTGATCAGGACCCCGCCCCATAGTCCATATGATACGTTTGATGTGGGTCAACCCACCGCATCATACTTTTGGAATAGGGTGTCGCAGACAATACCGCGCAGTGGAGATACGACCAGTAGCGATCACCTATAAGACAGAGTCTCAGCGAGTGTAGAGACACAGGAGCTAATCATTAGCTGTACCTATAAGACAGAGTCTATGGTACAAGTCATAAGTAAGGTCATTAGATCGTAAGGGAGAATGCATACCTCAGCGAGTGTAGAGACACAGGAGCTGAGGATATGGAGCGTATAGTACTAGGTTTATATACCAGTCTGCAGCAGATATCATGATGTCATAGTGGAGTAATGATATCATAGATGAGTAATGGATGACGCAATAATGAGGTCAGGTATGAGGTCATTGTGGAGCGAGCCAAAGTAATCTAAGAATACTACTTATGATGTCATGTCTACATACTGTGATAGTCGCTAATACAAACAAGCTTCAACACTCCCACTCGACTAAACAGTCGGATCACGAAGACCCAAAGACAGCCGATGTTGTTGGAACTTCACCCATGCCAAAGACTTTGTGAGCGTGTCGGAGATCATCGCATCAGTCGGCACATGGTAAAGTTGGACATTGCCAGCTTCGACGGATTCTCGTACGAAGTGATAGCGGATGTCGATGTGCTTCGTCCTCCTATCATGAACTGGATTTACTGCCATGAAAATAGCGCCTTGGTTATCAACACAAAGAGGCGTGGATGGCAAGTCATATCCGAGCTCAGTCAACAAAGTGCGGATCCAGGCAATCTGGCACGTAGCATCGCTCAGAGCCATGTATTCGGCCTCTGTTGAGGACAAAGCGACCGTGGGTTGGCGTCTAGAAACCCAGGTCACTGCACAACCGGCGATGAAGAAGGAATATCCCGTGGTTGAATGCCTGTCGTCTTTGTTCTCCGCCCAATCAGCATCGGAATAACCGATAAGGCCTGCGCCAGTGGAACCATCATAGCAAAGTTGGTAGTTTTTGGTGCCCTGAAGGTACCGGAGTATGTATTTTGCCATGTTCCAATGATGTTCTGACGGATTGCTGTTGAACTTTGATAGACGGATGACTGCATAGGCAATGTCGGGACGAGTACCAAGCATGGCGTATAGAAGGCTGCCAATCAGTTGCTGGTATCGGGTACGACGGTCTTCATCAACTTCTCCATCATGCTTCTCGGGCACGATGCCGGAAGGCAGGGGAGTACGAGCTTCTTTACATGAAGACATTCGGAATCGTTCTAGAACTCCTTCGATATAGGAAGCCTGATCGATCCAGATTTTACGCGCTTTGCGATCACGAACTATGTTCAGACCAAGAAAATCCTTTGCAGGACCAAGCTCTGTCATTTTGAAGCGGTTCGCGAGCAATGATTTGATCCGCGCTATCTCCGGCAGATTATTGCCCATAATGAGCATATCGTCAACATACAGCACCAAGATGATGACCGTATCTCCCATTTGTTGGCGATATGTGTAGACACCGGCGTCGGAGTATGTCCGAGCAAAACCAAGTTCGAGGAGGGCATTGTGGATTTTGATATTCCACTGACGAGACGCCTGTTTCAACCCATAGAGTGATTTACGAAGGCGTGCCACCTTTTCTTTTGGCCATGACGAGAAACCTTTGGGTAATTCCGGAAGTTCCATATAGATTTCTTCCTCCAGATCCCCGTTTAGGAATGCCGTTTTGACATCCATGGCATGAATCTCCCAGTCTTCGAGAGCAGCCAGAGCCATAAGTATGCGCAAAGATTCATAGCGCAATACTGGCGAGAAGGTCTCATCATAGTCAAACCCATGAACCTGAGTGAATCCCTTGGCAACAAGTCGTGCTTTGAAACGACCGTCACGCTTCCTGCTAAACACCCATCTGCATTTGACAGTCTTTCGACCGCGTGGAAGGCTGGTCAAATCCCAAGTACAGTTTTCCTCGAGAGAGTCCAGTTCTTCGCGCATCGCGCGCTCCCACTTGAGTGCATCCGGGCTCTTTGCTACGTCCCGCACGTTTTGAGGCAAGTCATGCTCAGCTTGGGCAGCTGATAACATGGACTCAATGCTGCTAAGCCTCTGATATGTAGTTCCATCTGGCATAATGCGGGGCTTATTCCGACGAGGGCGGCGATGGGCAATTGGGCGATCGTCTATCGGGCCAGGCATTGGGGGTACTTCTCGCAATCCCGTGACAGGACCTTGTTGCGCGAGGGGTGCCGGGGGCGGTGGAAGAGCAGGGGGTGGTATGCTTGCATAAGGCGTTGCAGGCGCAGGATTATTGATAAGGTCAGGGAAGGTTTCCTCGAATGGTGTGAACGGCTCCGGTCCAGAGAACACATTGCCGGTGACTAGCTTGGACTTGGCAGGGAATACTCGCTCATCGAACTCGACGTTTGAGGAGATTCGTATCTTGCGTTGATTCGGATCCCACACTTTCCAAGCTTTTGTCTCTCGTTCGTATCCAACGAAGATGTGGTCGGGGCGTCCATGCTCCAACCCTTTCGGGCGTTTTTCAACATCCACATAGAGAGACGCCTTGCATCCAAACACACGGAAATAAGAGACGTCTGGCTTCTTTCTAAGCCACAGTTCCGCAGGTGTTCGCCATCCCAATCGTGCCATAGGTTGTCTATTATGAACGTGGACAGATGCATCCATAGCACATTGCCAGAAGCCTTTGGATAGGCCGGCATTGAGGCGCATGCATTCCGCTTTCTCGTAGGCTGTGCGATTCCAACGTTCAGACCTCCCATTTTGCTGTGGTTTGCGTGGCGCGGACTTAGGGTGCATAATACCACGTGCATTGAGCCAGGCTGTGAGTTCATTGGACATATATTTGCCTCCACGATCTGACCGGAAGGCCAGTACTTTTGTGCCAAGCTGACGCTCTGTAAGGGCAACAAAGTTTTTAATCGCAGTAGAGGCTTGGTCCTTTGATTTAATGAACACCATCATGCCAAAGCTCGAGAAATCGTCATAGAACGAAATTGTGTAGCGTGAACCTTCCAACGACTGAGTCGGCCAGGGGCCCATCAAATCAGTGTGGATAAGCTCGAGGGGTTTGCTAGCACGTTTCTCTGATGCAGGGTACGGATGCTTGTGCTGTTTTCCAAGCATACATCCATCGCACATGCCGCGCTGGTCTTTATTGCGTCGCAAGGGGGAACACCTTCAACTTGTGTCGGCAAGTGAGAAAGGGTCCTCCGAGCCGCATGACCAAAACGCTTATGCCACAATTCACGATTGGTAGTTTCCAGGGAAGCGAGCGCGGTAGACTCGTGAGATGCAGACACAGATGGTGCCACGAGCTCCTCGGGGTAGTACCAGTAGCAGCGATTGCTTGCTTTAAAGGTCATCAAGACATCCCCTTGCGCTTTTCCCTTGTTGAGCCAATCCTTGGTGACTAGGATTGCCTTGTTGTCACCAACCACGGTGTAGTAACCAGCCTGATCGAGCGCATACCCAGAAAGGTAACGCCCTCTTATGTGCGGGTTGTAGATGACATCCTTCAGCGTGAAGGTGTAGTCAATGCCATTACTAGTATGACCCCGCAACACAATATCTCCAACGGCTTCATTCTTGAAGCGAGCTCCCGACCCAACAATTACATAGGTGTCGATAGGTCTGATGTTGTGAAGATCGGATCGGGTGTTTGTCATATGATGCGTACAACCCGAGTCCCATAGAAAACAAACTTTGGAGTCGTCTCCCATTTCTTCAACAAAAATTCCATCATTGATGTGTTTGAGGGAGTCACTCATGAGATAGGATGAAATGTGCATTCCATTGGAGGCAGCTGCAACCGCTGGAGCGGCTACAACTTCTTTGTTTACAGCGCTAGTACCATCACCGCTCTTCTTTTCCTTCTTCTTTTTCTTCTTCCCCTCATCCTGCTTCCCCTTGCCTTTGTCAGAAGATTGACCAGTCGGCTTGAGGTTGGGATACTTCTTGTAGCAGGATGCCGCAACGTGACCGGACTTGTTGCAATGAGTGGAGCGGGTGGCGAGGGACGGAACGGTGGAAATCTTCGAGTTTGACGTCGTGTCGAGGTTCTCGATCTTGATATTCCCTATGACGCTGTTCTTCACATCGACTGGGTTCAGAGAAGCGATAGGACGATTGGCCAGGTAAGAGGTGACAAGACCTCTGCTGGAAGCGGGCAAAGCGGCGAGCATTAGAGTTGCGAAGAGGTAGTCGGGGATCTCGATTCCTCCTTCCGAACACTGGCAACGACGAGTCTCCATTTCCATGATTTGCTTTTCAATGGTATCACCACCATGGAAGGTGGTGGTGTTCAGGAGGCGGTACTCGACGAAAGCATCGATGGCATTTGGTTGGCCATAATCCGTCGCCATCTTCGAAAAAACCTCGCGCGCAGTGCGCTCCCGCTGACCGTCCATAAAGATTCCCTTGCGCAGATTCTGGGTGATATAAACCCGCGCAAGACCCAATGCCTTTTCATTGGCAACGTCCCATTGATATTGGCTGTCACCAGCCGTTCCAGGACGCTCCATAGAACCAGGGTTCGAGGTAGATATGCCGTTAACCATAATATGAGTGGGTTTAACCACTCCCCAGGTGCCCTGATGCATGCAGATGCTCATGTAGTTGTCCGACCACGTATTCCAATTGGTGCCATCGAAGACACTCAGAATGGAGTTGTTGAGTTTCTCGATTCCCGACATGGTGGGGAGATACTCGATAACGTCGGCGGTTTGGTAGTGAAGAGAGGGGAATTCGATATAGGGAGGATCACCGAATAGAGATCGAAGTTCTGGAGTCCAATTCTCTTGGTGATGGAAGAACTCTTCGTTGTCGTGTTCTCCAAGATCGTATAGATCCCTCCAATCGGTGTCTTGGAGAGGAATGTAAGGAGGTCCCTGAGCCCAGCGGACAACAGGAAATAGGATAACCCCAACGGGAGGGTCGTCTGGTGATGACAGGGTGATAGAGATGGAGACTAGAGCGACGAAGTCAGCCCCAGATTCTCTGCAGACCAAGAAACAAAATCCCGAGTGCCAAATCTCTGAAACGAGAACGACCAAGCGTCCCCATCCCATCCATGATGCCCATATACGCGCGGGAAATGATAACGAAATAAAGCGGTATAGTAAGTGCCCATATTTGTATCAAAGTAACGTAACTATATACGTCAGCGGCGGCAGTACCCGATGGTGATTACTGCCCTCGCAGTCCGTCACTGGCCAAGGGACACGTGCCCAAGGCCGTCCCAAGCACCGGGTTTGGCCGCCCATCTTCTCCCTTTTAAAGACATGCATACACGCAGAGCGTCATTGCATGAATCCTCGTAGTGTCACCAGCCCGCAGGGTCCCTTGTGAGGAATGCGAGTCAACCCCGAAGGATTGTTTTGCCTGGCGGAGGGATTGACCTCCAGCAGCTGTTGAGAGCTACCACACCACCTAGGCGCTTCGCGCAAGGTTCAGGAGTGGGATTGACCAAAGGACCAGTGCCTGGTGGGTATGTCCGCTGTACAATAAAAAGATGTAACGTAAAACGCGCGCGAGCAATCATGGACGGAATAGCTAACGGCGCGTCTGCCAACTGAATGACTCCCTGACGCCGCTCGCGTAACCCCTTGAGGGTGAGAGCACAAATGCGAGGACCGACATCCAGCAAGTGGGACGAGCGCACAAAGTCGGCGCTCTAGAAGGGCTGAACGAGTGAAAGATACTCGCCTTAGTAAAGGGAGTAGTTCGATGTTTCTTGATTTGCCGCTAGTGGTTCAGTCGGGGCCCATAACCTGTCGCAGACAATACCGCGCAGTGGAGATACGACCAGTAGCGATCACCTAAAGACACAGAGTCTCAGCGAGTGTAAGACACAGGAGCTAAGCATTAGCTGTACCTAAAGACACAGAGTCTGTGGTACAAGTCATAAGTAAGGGTCATTAGATCGTAAGGGAGAATGCATACCTCAGCGAGTGTAAGACACAGGAGCTGAGGATATGGAGCGTATAGTACTAGGTTTATATACCAGTCTGGAGCAGATATCATGATGTCATAGTGATGTAATGATATCATAGATGAGTAATGGATGACGCAATAATGAGGTCAGGTATGAGGTCATTGTGGAGCGAGCCAAAGTAATCTAAGAATACTACTTATGATGTCATGTCTACATACTGTGATAGTCGCTAATACAAACAAGCTTCAACATAGGGCGTGTTAGATTGGCCAACGGGTATGTCTTGGCGAGTGAGTCCAATGTGGGTGCCCCAAGAAGCTGTATGGTCCTAGGCACGCCAGACGTTCCTCACATGGTTCGGTTCACGGATCTAGCCGTATTGATTTTAGTGTGTTTGGGTATGGACGCGACTCGCCGTGACACTTGGAAGTGTCACCGCAACACGTCCACAATGTCCCGTGATCGAATGGATCCTGACATGTGGCAAGTTGTCGTCGTGGCACGATCTGAGGAAACGTCCAACTCAAAACCGGGAGTTGCCGCGACAAGATTGGTTCAATCTCGTAACGCCAAGTCCTGTCCAGTAGTAGTTGTATTATTGAGAACGTCGCACATTGCTCAGCCCTTCAGCCCAAGTTCCCATCTGCAGAGAATGACCCTTTTGAGAAGTCGACACAACGAAAGATCCCTTTTTGGGGAATTGTCGCGGTCCAAGCGTTCGTCACTAATGGCCCTGAGCCTGGTGTAGACTCATAAGACCAATTCCACAGTAGTGGTCTGACTGCCTTGCTATCGTTGACACTATCCACAGTCGTCGACTGGGCAGTAGATCCTTAAGTCCTACTGAGCGCAACACTGTCAACCGCGACACGATACACCAAATGGTTCAAGAGTAAACTCTGTAAAAAGCGCAAAAATACGCCCTTACAGAGCTGGTGCAGAGCGTGTCTGGTAGCCAGCCTATCAGCGTATATCTCAGAGATCACGTTATTGAAGTCAGACGGGACCAGCTCAAAGATCTGGAGATTGACTGGTGCGTACATCTCCTGCACCATGTCAATTGCTGTAGGATCTATGCGGACCTGCTGATGTGTTCAGTCAAAAATTGAGGGAGATGGAATGGATATGAACACTTGCCTTGAAATCCAGGATTGCGTAGTCCTCTGGAAATTGGAACATATGCATGGGGACACCATGAGGCAGTACCTTATTTTGATCGTGCCTTTTACGATGTTATTTACTCAATAGCAATAGGCATCAAGTTCAGCTTGAAGCCAGGGAATAAATACCCATTGAAAAATCAATTTCTATTAGAAATGAGGACAGGAAGTGGTCATTTAAGGGAGAACACAAACACTTCCAACAGAATCTTGGGATCATATATTTGAGTGTATGTTTGCTTAAGAAATCTACTGGAGACAACAACAAGTTGTTTTTCAAGTTTATCAACAATGCGAGGGCAGCTCCAGTCTGCTCCATTGGTCCCGACTCTGTACATTATCCCATTGCAATATTTTTGTGCTTCATGCAGCACGTTCAATACGAGAAATCCAAGGGCTTGGTATTCCTTTCTGACCTGCAAGGTTTGTTTCCTCTAATATCATTGACTCTCGTTGATTTATTTACAGGTTTGCCAACGCATTTGAGAGACCCTCAGATCACAACATCTCCGTAAGATCTATTATCTCCCGCGGATGATTTAACATTATCTTATCGGACTGGTAGGGAACTCAAGCAGGGCCTATCTGGAGGCGGAAACATCAGTTCCTTGTTCCAGAAGTTCCCAAGCCAACATCAATGCTCACAATACTGCCAATTCTTCCGGCTGTCGTCCCTTGCTTAGTTTAGTTTTTCTGTGCTCTACAATAGTGACATGCAAGCCAATCCCTCCACAAACTGCTGTATCTCGAATGGACACACGGCGTTCAAAGTTCGACTTTTAGCATGTGCAGTCACAATCAGTCACATCCCTTCCTCCATCCTGGGCAGCGCTTTATTGAGATACACGGGATTAACTATATCTACCTACGTAGTCTCTAAGCTAGGTTCTGGAAAACAAACTTCATAATGCCTGGTGCATGGGGTCCTGATTCACAAACATGTGACGAAACTCAATAGATCACCGATCAATGATCGAACTCGCCGCTTACAAGGGAGAAGTCCTCGCATATCAGCATGCTGTTGCGGGCCTCCATAATTGTCACCCGCAGTCCGGATCACAAGATGCATCTGTTCTGTCAATTGTTGTGTGATGAGGGATCATGCTCGGAACAACCCTCTTGCCCCTTACTACTACATGTATCCACCCGAACTGGAACTAAAAATCTTTCGAGAGGCCGCTCTCTCTCGTCCGCGCGACATCCCTAAACTTATTCTCGTTGCTCATCGCTTCCACTATTGGTCTTGGCCCTTCCTCGTCTGCTGCAAATGTAGAGCTGAATCGATCTTTGTGCCAAGCTCCAACCGCTGCTCTATCGAACCCTGCTTCTTGCGCCGGATTCCGAACACCCAGTGCCAGAAATGCATGAAGACACCATGAGCATGATCTCATCCTCGAAGATGGAGCGCTTCCGATATCTCAAAGAGACTCAGAATGTCTTCATTTACGATCAGCAACCGTCCTTCGCATATGACCTCATCTGCGCTTGTCCAAATGTCCAAAACTTCTACCTTCTTTCTAACGTCCCCTCCGTCAACAGTCCACGCGTGCGCTTTGCACAGCTGAATCGATTGCACTGCCACTGGGAATTCATTGCCAAGGACCGGATGCAGGTATTCGGCAGTGTGATGCGGCTGGAGATTTTCGGAGAGGATGCATCAACACCCACGATGCGAGCTTTTCATTCTGAGATGACTCTCTGGATACCAATTCTCTTCCCTTCGCTCACCCACCTGGCTTTAAGCTGCGTTCCGCCCCGGGTGCAGGATGTCCTCGCGCAGATCCTGACAGGAAAGATGCGGGCGTTCATCATCTTATGCGGCTCGCCAATCGATTCGAGAAACTCTCCCTTGGTCGATCAGGCGCTGAAAAGCCTGTGGGAAGCTGACACGAGATTACTCTGCCTCATGCTCTGTGACTATGAGAATGATTGGGTACAAGGCTGCATCAGCGGACACAGTTTCTGGGAAGCATCAGACACTTGGATTGCTACACGCAAATCTGTGGCTGGTGAAAGTACGTGGACATCTCTCAGAAGTTCCATCTCCATGACAAGCCTTTCAGGAGCAAGGTTCTTCACCGTCCAATAGCGCTTGGTCCAGCTTTCTCGAATTCCGCTGCTCTTTGCAGTGAATAAACATATTCATCAATAGAATACAATGCGCGTTTAGTTCCAGATGAAAGTACATCTTCTGAGGACAACTGTCTCGAATGTACCGTGAGTGAAACAGGGATGACTCTGTCGAGGACGAGCGCGATGTGAGAGACTGAAAGACCGCCAAAGCTTCAATTCACCCACTGATTTCGCCTGCCAAATGGATGGAGCCGAGACAGAAAAGAGATACGATCTATGAAAATTGCATGATTGGAAGGCAACATCGAAGGCCGTGGACTGAGAGCGACATCTGTCAGGCGCTAAACCAAATCACGAGATAGCACATTGACAGGAGTTCGTTCCGATCATATAATCATACTCTTTTAGGCTGCCACTCACTGCATGGCCGGCCACACTGTGTTCTTGCTCCCTCCCATTCACTGCATTTCAAGGGTACCTAGCCCCTTTTGGTGGCTAGTCGGGTAGCTCAGTGCTAGCCCCCATGAAGGGGCGAGGTGTCTAGGCACTGCCGTGGTTAGAGGTGGCTAGCATGGGACGAGGAGTGGCTAGCCTGATCGTCCATCACTTGATCATCACTAGCCCCCATCAACCGCTTCCTCGCTCCCATGTCATCAACAGGAAGGAAAAATTCGACCAGTGGTAGGAGTCACAGCAGGTCACAGCTAACCATCAGTGGGTCTTGATGCGGTGGAAATAACCACGTGTAGACTCCGTGCGGCCTACTTGATCAGCTGCCGGCTCGCATGCCGGAGCCCCAAATCCCGGCTAGTGATCTAGGCCCGACTCGCCTTTGGCTCGCCCATCACTCGCACGCCGAAGCCCCCGAGGGGGCTATGGTGCGGTTCACTTAGAGACCTCACCCTGGGAACAACGTGACTGGTCACGCCAGAATTAACCTAATTTTTTTTCCTCTTGGGAAACAGCTCCTTTTCACTCAAGGAAGAGAATGGCTAGAGGGATAAGCCTCAATTAAATCACTGAGCGAGCTGGAAATTTTGAGAAAGGTCAATTTGGCAGTAGTACAAAATATCATATGCTACTGGTCAGAAGCGCGCGCAACGCCTTCAAAGATGCGTCAGTGTGATTTGTATGAACGTGAGCTGAATTTGCAAACTTCCAACTGAGCCTGTTGAGTCTCCATCCCCTTCCGATATGCGTCCATCCAACAGACCATCCTCTGTTCCCACTTCCGGATTGTTGAGATGCTGACTGAGGCAAGCGCAAGGGCATATTGGTCTTGAGGGTGTTGAAAGTGTAATCACAATTATTGCGCAGGTATTTTTTGACAGCACCCCAGAAGTATTCAATGAAATTCAACTCACAATGAAACTTTGGAAGCAAGAGGCACAGATGGCCTGCGTCCTCGACCACCTCTTGAACCATTGAACATGTTTGGCGCGCACTCGAGCTGCAGCGGCCATTTGCGCCTTGGTGGGCATGGCGGAAGCAGAAGATACACAAAATTGATCAGTCACGCGTCAAGATCTAGTCGAAATTCCGATATGGCTACAGTTGTTACAAAATCTACGAATGAGATCGAAATCTAGGCCCCAAAAGGGGTACACTGTGAAAAAAAATTTGGCCTGCGGCCAATTTGGCAGTTGTTCCCAGGGTGAGGTCTCTAAGTGAACCGCACCATAGGTACCCGTGAAATGCAGTGATTGCTCGCTCTACATGCCGAGCAACGCATTCGAAGTCCACGCATAATGAACAGTCTGCCATAGTCGCCAGGACCCGTCGAATCGTACCACCGCCGCTTGGCAGGAATTTCTCGCTCGCGAACAAGTCAGTCCTCGCGCTAGTATGTGCTTGTGGCCCTCTAGATTCTGCAGAAAAATCCGAACGAGACTGGATACGGGGGTCTTTATTATGCGACACGCGCGGAGGCGTCCTAACTATGCCTTCTGGTCTGTCGACCAGGTCCTACGTGGCAACTTGCGCTAGCTTTCCTCGTTCCAGCATCGGTTCCCGCAGGTATAAAATCTCATTCGAACGGTCTTTTGAACCAGTGGAAAGGAATGCTCTTCACTACCCTCCTGAAAGCTTGCCTCTGCGCCTTCGCTCTTCCTGCAGTCTCTGCCGCTGTGGTTGGAGCGAGCCTCGATCTTCGCGCTCAGGGAGATCCTGCGGCGTCGCTCATTCTGGAACCCAGTGTCCATCCAGATGTCGACCGGTCAGCCCTCGGACACCTGAAGGCCGCAAAGGAGAATTCGATGTACTACGCCACTCCGAAAGGTATACTCACCTCGTTCCTGGCCTAGCGCTCGGCTCATGAGTTCGCTTAGGGCCTGGAATGAATGCTGCCACCGTCATTCAACTGTCCCACCTGTACCCAGCGGTTAACCTCGAGAAATCCCACTTTGTCTCTTCCGTCTCTTGCGGAATTGACAGTAAAACGATTACAATCACCTTCAACGACGCGACGGCCTACCAAACAGCACTGTCCGACTGGTCATCACATGCGGGTTCCAATTTCCTCCTCATTTCTTACGTCGATGGATGTGGATCAGGCACGGACACACTAGAACGCTCGTTCCATCTCGTATCTCGTATCGTTTCTTCGGATTCATCCAAGCGCGTGATCGTCTGCGCGTCCGAGCCGCTCGAGTTTCACGAGACTCTGCATCCTCAGCAGGAGATCCGCGTCCACACGGCGACGTTCACGTCAAGCCCTCGTTCCCATGGCGGACATGCCGTGCAAGCACGGGAACAGGGCCAAGTCTCGAAGCGCGGCTTTTTCGGTAATGTCCTGGGGGCACTCAGCGGCGGAGTTCTCGGTGGGGTCGCCGGTGGATCAGCCGTGCTCGGCGCAGGTGCTACGGCAGCTGGAGGTTGGCCTCTTTTTTGCGTCATCTGTGTAGGGTTCTCATATAGCTGCAGAACAATTTGTCAAGGCTATCACACCATTCAGCGTGAAACAGACGGCTACGGTGCAAACGAGTTCTTCAAAACTGGTTCCTTTCAACGCAACCTTTGACGAGGACGATGACTCGTATCGGTTGTACTACAAGAAGTTTGGCAAAAACAAGAAGAACGTGGACTCGTCGATCGAGTTGTTCTGTGTGGGATGTGGAGTCGGTTAGTAGCGGGTCACTCTCGATTCTGCAGTACTTATGGCCGTTAGACGTCAAGATCTTGCTCACGGCGAATTTGGTCGGTGCGTATAGATATTGACTTTTTCCCCCTCTGTCCTTGCCGACACGCAAACCTTTCAGGAAATCTCGATGAGGGATTCACCACCGCGACCGTCGCTCTGAACACCACATTGACGGCAAAACTTGTTCTTGGGGTTAAGGCCAATTGTTCGTCCATGATTGTTTTGTGCGCGACCCACAGGTGACGCTTCGCATACAGACAAATACGAAGATACAAAGGCTCTCCTTGAGTCCAAGTATCCGATTCCAGAGTAAGTTCCCACACCATCAGCTCCGCACTTCGAATCAACGACTCCGGTACAGCGCTGCGATCATCGTGCCTAAGATTCTGGAGCTTGGTGCATTCGTCGTCCTGGACATCGGAGCAGACTACTCGCTCGACCTCAATGGCAAACTTGCCGCCGGATTCATCTGCACTTGGAAGAACGTCGGCGCAACCCTGGACTTCGTCGACTACCAACAGTCACGGAGCTTCGGAGATTGGAGCATCAGCAACGCATGTAAGCGGGTTCTGGACGCGGAGGTCACGATTACTGCGATTTTGGAGCCATTCATCCAGCTCTCGCTGCAAGTCCGGACGTCGATTCTGCCGGGTGTGACCAAGAAACTGACGGGGGCGGTGGCTCTGGGCGAGCGTGTCGGGTTGAAGCTCAACGCGACTGTTTCGACGAACAAGAACGGGCAGTGTCCGTCGCTCGATCCGAGACTTTCGGGAGCCCTTACCAGTGAGCTGTTCGTGTCGGCAACGGTGGGTAAGAAGGACTACAAGAAGGATCTGCACACGTACGAGCATGAACTGTTCGATGTGTGTATTCCGTAAGTCCTCATTCACGCTGACGAGTTTGCTATCACTCAATTATACTCAGACTTCATGGTAAACGCGAAGAGATCGCCTCGATTGGGGAAGAGATTCAGCTCCCCCGTGATTCGTCCGATGCCCCGACGACCATCTTCTGGGATACTATCGGAGAGAGAATTATCTGGGAGGGCAACCGCGTCTACGTCACAGATTATACATTTGAGGACGAGGCGGAGACACAACCTGCTTGGCTGACTCAACAGGGCGTCACTTACGCGGCAACAAACGGAGATATTATTTGTGCATCGAAGAAGATGTTGAAGACGGAGGGTCTAGCGTTCCTAGAGACGCGTGCCACTCTTCCAAAAGACTATGTTCAACTGTAAGGGTTTCGTTCAACGGGGGTCCTCGTTCTCAATCATTCTCTAGCGCGCTCGGCTTCCCGCCCACAGAGAACAGCTTCCTGCTCGCAGCGAGCCAGGACAACGAGCTGTTCATCATCACTGCATGCTTCCTTAACAACGGCGAGGGACTTATTTATGTCAGCAATTACACCACTGGCTTGCCCACGGGCGCCATCAAGAAGTCGGTCGCGCAACAGCTCTTCGCCGGAGACGAGGACCCCTTCTGTGGCACGCCTTATCTGACAAGACAGATTTGATTTTCTTCGAAGTTACATAGTTATTGTATTGTGACGTAGGAAGATATCGCATGCGCGTAGCGCAGACAACAACCGAATGTTTTCCGTGCAACTTCGGCCAGTGCAGCAACCACACATTGGACTTGGATCCAAATTTACAATTACGTAAATTTTAAACACATCAACTCCCAAATCCCAAGTGAAAGTTACGATACTCATATGAATTGGTAATTCAGTGAATTCTGACATCTAAGTCGGAGTTATTGAATTCTTGCGGAAACGTGGGTGCACTGGGGGATCAATCGTCCCGCCGACGGCTGTTCGCGGCTCTGCTTTTTTACTCCAGTGAGCTGTTGGTCTCACGCAGGGACTCATAAGTCCGCTCAATATTGATGAACCCGAAAGGTCCTGACGGTTGCCATCAGCCGGACTGCGGTAATGGCAATGCTACTGACGAGACAGCCAGCTTGTATGTTATTAGATTCATGGAACCACATAAGGGCCCGCCCGTCTGTATCCCTTCGAGTTTGGCCTTTCTCAGTGGCAAACGTCGGTGTCTTGTGGTGTAAGCATTGCTACCAAAACAGACTCAAGTCTTTTAGACATGACAATCAGTGCGAAAATGGATGCGTGCCTTGGTGAAATGAATCAATAATACGACTAAGTAGATAAATCACTGCAAATCGAGGGAGACTTGACGCATATACTGTTTCTGCCCGTGATGAATGTACGTCTCGAGCACACTCTTGGATCGCTTCACATTAGGTCGGATTCACATTCAGCGGGAGAACTGCCTCGCGTGTTGTGGGCACCATGTGTGCCTGTGAACTGTATGATTTATCCCTGACACCAAGGAAAGCAATTGAAATGTCCCACTAGAGAGCTCTTTTTCGTGGTTATAAATCCTGTATAGCGGTCACCCGCCCCTGGTGAGGCTATTATCCGACTGGATCGGTGAAGCCCTAGTTGGTAATGTGCACTATCAGGACGAGGAAATGAGCCGAAGAGGAAAGAACGGAAAATTATTTCTCCACCGGCGCGCCATGACGCCCGCGTGCAGTCAAATGAAAGCACGGACATGAGCCCCGATCGGCGTGCTCCCGAAAGTCTAGGAAGCCTGGGAAGATCGGTCGGCCCAGGTCCGAACACCTTGGGATGGATCGATAGCAGGCGAGTCCGGCTGGAAGATCTAGCTTTCTGGGGCTCCTGGGGGTTGCATGAATCTTGCTGAAATAGTATCGAGTTTCCCAGGGACGACTGCAGGTGCACCTGGACAACAATTGAGGAGATATGAAAAAAAAACAAGGATATCCAGGTAGGGAGCCGAAATGACGTCGATTTCTGGCACGCAGTAACATGTTTTCTGGATTCAGAAATTCACTTCTCATGCATAGCAAATCTCACCCGATGATCGTGTCCACAGGGCCTCCAGTCTCCACGCCCTCCGCATGTGAGCTCCCGAATAAGTAAGTAGGCAGCATGCAATGAGACGGGCCAACGGGAAAACGGAGGATTTCAAGACGCAGTGTGATTCTTAGCGAGCGTCCGGCCCAACTTCTGCGCACTGGCGATCCCTACCCTGGACGCATGGCGGAGGAGAAACAGCCAGAAAGCGTAGATGTAGATCACGTGCCTGGGAGAGACCCGTGTCTGGGTCATGCGTGCTGCGTCATCCGCTTGTCCTTTTCCTTGATGTCCTATCTTGTCGTAGAGCCGAGCCTTTCGATGAGGGTCTCGCCGGGGTATAAAGGAGTTCTGAAGATACGATGGGCAGCAGAGTCTCAGCTTTCTCTGCAGCCTCTACCCATACACACTTCTTCCAAGTTCTTCAATCACCCATAACACTGACGATGTCGACCGTAGACGTTACGATCCGCGCAGGAGTCGTGAGCACTCTTGCGACGCCGGAGGCAACCAAGAAGCTGCAGGAGCTGCTCATTCGGGATGGCAAGGAGCACCACTGCTTCTTCAACGACCGCGGCTTCCACAACCATCTTCCGCACCAGTGCGTCTCGTCTTGGCCTGAACCGAATCCAATGGCTCATTTAATTCCTCAGCCTTATCGCTGCCTGCGACATGGGAGCTTCGCCGAAGCTTCTGGAGGAGATATACGAGCTGGAGGCGCGGGACCAGCGCCCTGTCGGTGAGCCAGGGCCTCCGCTGGACGACGTGCGCTGGACTTCGCGACTCGGAGACCGAAGGTGCGTGCATGCCTCCCTCAACTCTTTGGAGCTCATGAAACTACAGCGCCTATGCTACTTATCTCGTGTTCTTCAAGGAGAAGATCGCCAAGTACGGTGTCACCAAGACTCTGGAGGACTACTTGATGTCTCCGGATGCTAACTTCAATGGCGCATCGATGTTCGGTCGTCTGTTTGGGGGCGCGCTTCATCCCATTATTCACATCGGAGTAAGTCTTTCAGCAGCTGCGACAGGGCGGTATCCGACTTATCCGTGCTTCGCAGTTTGGAGTGGAATTGGGTCTCGACTCTTTGGTTGCCCAAGGTGTGTGCAATATCCAACGTCAGCGCGACTGAATCCTTGGGTCTGATCCGCCTGCAGGTCTTGCCATGTGTGCAGGCACGGAAGGAAACTTCTCATCCGTTGTCGCCGACCACTGGTCTACTGCGATGCCCAAAGTCCCCGAGGTCCCCACCAAGGGTGTCACACTCTTCTCGATCCTTCGCCAGGTGTACGAGTCCTCCGAACTGACGCCTACCCTCCCCTATGTTCCGAATGACGCCATCGGCACTGGGTTCTACAAGATCAGCGACTCTCCCATACACACCCATGCTTTGCGCAATTTGTACTCGAAGTGGTCCATCGACACGACCTTGGAAGGAGCAGCCTTCGATGCGGAGATCAGTAAACGCATCGAGGAAGCCTACTGGCAGGCGATGCTACTCACCGCAGGGGTGGGGCGCACGGGCCACGGGCCCCGCATCGACTTCTTCCTCATGCACGCCATTACCAGTGCGATTGTCCTGCCTCGCCTGCTTGACGCGCTGCCCCGGAAGCTTCACAAGGTCCAGATGCTGCAAGGCTTCGCACGCGCTTGCGCCGTATGGGGTATTGCCCGTGGGCGCCCTCATATCAACCCCTCGCTGCTGATGTCCTATCCCGCTCTGCCGGCTCCTGCAAGCCTCAAAACCAGCACCGCCGCGGATCCCTGGGCCCCGATTATTACCACTGGGCTCGACCACTTCGACTCCCACGTCGTGAAGACGATCCGGGGGTTGTATTACGGACACATCCATTACGGCAACGTCCCCGCTGGCCAGGTCTTCGGCGCGCTAGATGAAAATGGGAATGAGACGCATCCGGGCCTCGCCAAGCTTGATGGGACAGCCTGGATCCGGGCAGCTGGCATCACCTGCACAGCCCTGGGCTGGATGGCTTTCGGCGAGGAGGGCGGCAAGTGGGATCGCAGTGGACTGGGATGGGATGCTGCGTGGGAGTGAGTTCCTGGACCCAGGGCTTGGGAACTACTTGAAGCATGTATCGGCAAGATGAATGTGAATGTTGATTGCAGCGATCTGCTAGATGGTCTTACCACATTCCTGATGAGTGTTGGGGGATGCGCAAGAAGTTTAACAGGCTTTAAAGCGGATCAGACCACCGTGACCCTCTCCGTTGTCGTTGTTTCACACACGGCTACGAGGTATCGATCCTCTTTACATCCGTCACCGAGAGCACCGACTGAAACGCCCCTCCCTTCACACCCGCTCCACCATTCAACTAGTCATCCACATGCGACCTCCTCTGATCGTCAGATAACGTCGAATACTTGTTGACTTTGAAGGCCCGGCCTGTACTCGTGCCACAATTGTTGGCCCATGAGGCACGCCAGAAAACGAAACATGCGCTAAATTCGGACCAGCGTCCTTGTTTGTGCAAACGCACCACGTCGGAATTGCGCCATTTTGAGCTCCGCAAGCGCTTTTGGCAGGTCTCCGCTGGTCTCGGGTCGGAACCGCACTATCGGCGTCACAATGGGCGGAATGACAGCGGCCATGCAGAGATATCAGTTAAGAGAGACCAAGACACCGCCGTCATCTAGGCTTCCGAACATATTCTCCGGGATCCGGGATCTCACTCCGGGTAGCTACAGATGCGATCTGGTGAATTTCTCAAGCACACGGGCTGAGAAACCTCCCTCGGTGCGATAGATCGAAGCAGTGGGGGTCGATGAATGTCAGTCCCTGGACGGATTTCTATAAATCCTCCTCGTCGCATGTCTGTGAATTGTCATCGCGCCCAGGATCAGCTCCGAACGAAAATGTGTCGCCAAATAGCGTCAGTTCGGGCTTGCAGCACCTTTCCTTTCCCGCATGTGCTGACCAGAGACTTCAGTGAAGGAACACGATGGACCGTTTGTGGTGTGAGCTTGCTCACGGCCCCTTCGACTGCTTCACACTGAACCCGGCCAGCATTTCCAGCGCCATCTCGTCGTCGCGATATTAGACTGCAACTCGCGGCAATGCGAGCGCTCGGTCTACCACCCACGGGAGTGCCGGTCTCGAACGTGCGCTCGTGTGCGTTGGATAACACGTGCATGCTTGCTTTTTTGAGGGCTCATATCCTGCTGCGTGATTAGAACTTTGGCCCGGAAATCCAAAACGACGTCGATGCAGTAGACGAGTACTGTTGGGCTTGCAGAGCAGCACAGGACCGCGCGGCGAGGGGTCTTAATTATTGATAGGGACTCGACTTGTACTCTCTCCACGCTCCTCAAAAAGAAAACTCACAGATGCTTCACATACGAGGTCCTGAGCCAATCGGATGTTCGGATTACATGGGCCGGCCCACCAAATATCTAGGAACAACAGGAACGGAGTCCAGGATAATGAACATCTGACCTCCACGTGGTCTGTACAGTAATCGACTCCAGCAATCAAGTAAGTCACCAGGCCACGTCATTGAGGGCAATAAGATACACACGAGCTGTCCCGGTCACGTAACCTACCTTAAACCGAGGCTGCTTGGCTCGTAGAACTTTCCGCTCAAGTGTTAATTTAGCACGGATCAGAGACTTGTGTCGCACGGCAGGACCGGGTGACCGAGAGGATGTTCTGTATATAGGACACGCAAACGGGACGAGCCAAAACGTTGCCCGTTCTATGTCAGAGATCTTCTCGACGAAATGACTTTGCATCGCAGCTCCGGGGGATGTGTATCAGAGGGTTTTGACAATTCTGTTCTGAATTAGTCGAACGTTCCAGGGTTCCCTGACGAGCTGACAAAGCCGCATCCATTTTGAATGGCAAAAGAAGAGAGATTGCTTGCTTGGTTCGGATCGATCCCGTTGCCAATTGGCAAGTCCCTGGGCTCCAGATACCAATACGCCATGCCGTTGCTGGATGTATCAGTAGTGACAGACACCGGCGACACTTGTGGATGGGGAAACATCCGGAAAGATCCAGTAGGGCAAATCTGTCTTCCGTAAAGCTTCTGGTACTAGCACTCTATAAAAGATCACTGAAATATATGCTGCGGAAAGGACACGCAATAAGGTCATAGAAACTCTGCCCGGTAGAAATTTACGCTATCCACCAGCGGCAGCGAATTAGATCATCACTATACATAGATGGGGGGGACTTTCGAGTTGAAAATCTTAATGCGTTCCGCGTCCTAGACCAAGGAGCTTGTGGCAGGGCTCAGAGGTCACTTGATCCCATGTCACATCAGACATTGATGTGAAGACGGCACGTGAGCGTTCAGATTGAATCTGCTCATCTCCGGTCTGATCTTTCGCAATTCCGATTGGTTGGCCTAGCACATGGAACCTTTACAGTCGAAGAAAAAATTCAACTCGAGGAAATTGATCTAGATTGGAGCATGCCGGACCTCAAATTACTTTGAGCACGTCGAACCGTGAGAACCCGTAACTGCACGTGATCGCGAAGTCCCGTTTGATGGGATGTGTGTGATTACGACAGGGTGATAATCGGGTGCAAAAATTGGCCATCTTATCCCTGGCCCGCATGCAGGGCGCATGTCGTCATTCATGTGCCCCGGAGTCTTTGTCTTTGAAATATCTGCCCAGGGATGTAAATCGGTTGTATGTAAAGACTCCATGTTAGTAAATAGACGCAGATCCGGTGCTTGGCTTCTTGTGTCAACGTGAACTGACAGCACGTCTGGTGCTTACCCACCTTCAGACGCTTCGCTTATTCAACTCGTTAGATATTCAATATCTCATTAGCTCAGCCCAATCGTCCAGCACAAACGGAACATCGGACAGTGTAACTGTCGAGCATGACCGAGTAGTGGAATTCTCTTTCCGGATGAAGTAGGAAAGAGGAGTCGAAAAATCAGGATCGAGCTATCAAATGTATGCAACCGAATGAAGAGTAGTACCAGACAGGTTCTGACCTGCAGTTGTTAACCATCCTTGTGATCATTTCCAAGAGGACGGCTACGTTTCACAGCGTTTTTTTTTTTTCATGAGATATTATGTGCGATGCAGACCGTCGGCATCAAGCGCATATCCGGGTGTGGAGTGCATGGCGAATCGCCCGGGAAATGATAAACACAAGTCCGTCCAAGGACTCAGCCTCTAATATGATTCTTTTTCATATGTGTTAAGCAGCAGCAGCGAGTTCATCGGATCTGCCTCATAGACATCCGCGAAGTCACATTCTTTGAAAAAGGCTCGCATAACTCTCTCCAATCATCCCCTGGGCACAGTGTGTAGTTCAATCTATGAGTGACCGAATGTCCACGATAGCGACATTGGCACGTTTCGCGAGAGTTCGGATGTTGTCCAGTGGAGGTACGTTCAAAAACTCCAACGTATTGGTGGATAGAGTAGTACCAAAATCCGTATCGCATGGATGCGGGAGCTTCGAGTTGCCCAATTGAAGAGCTTCCGGAAGGATCTCTACGTGATAAATAGATTAATTCAAGGCTTGTTGACGCTGTTTCGTTTGAAGAACGGCCATATTCTTATCGTGGTTCTCCCCCGCACACTGACGTCTGGGCCATACATCGATCTGCTGCCCCAAAACCGCACCTTACAGTATGTCAGCTGGAGAAGTGAAAGCTCGCAACGGATTGGACGTGGGAAATGACCGCAACAACCACCAGCGGATGCTTGCATGTTGCGACACTAGACCGAACTAGGCTTCATCTGCTGATATTGCCAAGTACTTATGGTTGATGAAGGAGGACAAGCCATTCCAAAACGTTTTACCGTACAAGAAGCTACTGTGGGTCGCCTCGTACTTACGGGCCACGACTGCGCAGTGTGATACAACATATGATTCTGTTTGGATCTAGTCGTGCGATGAATCACCGGCCAAACAGCGAAAGAAACAACGCACAAATATGAACACAGCACACAGCGAGCATCTCATTCCAGTTTTTCAAGCTCCTCCAAGCGACTCAGCACAACCTCCTTACTTGTTTCTTCGATCTCGCCTGCGAGAAAGATTTCGTCGAGGATCGCGTAGACCTGAGCGGTTTAGTAAAAAAGAGATATCATTCGCGACCGAACCACCTTGTAGAAGTTGAAAACAAGATCGAGCTCGCAGACGTTATCAAAGAAAGTGTCTGGCGCATACGTTACATCGGAGGAAGTGCGCTCTGGCAAGACGACTCACCAAGCACCTCGACGAAGAAGTGGATAGCTTCGAGATACGCCAGTTCGTTGTCGTTTGCGTCTACGCAGACACAAAAGAAGAGCCCTGCGTATCGCCGATACACGACTTTGAAATTGCGGAACTATGTCGCGCGTGAGCGAATGAGCACTCCTGTAGTAGTCATTCGGGAGTGACACACACCTCGACAAAGTTGGACTGATACTTCTGGTCTCGTGGCGCGACAAGCCGGTGCACCTCGCCTCTCAGACGGACCTTTACAGCGAAGCCTCCATCAACACACTTCAACACACCACGCGACCAATGCAGACCTTTTCCTCATCGTCGTAGGGAACATACCACTTCGACAGACGCGTCTTCCCTTGCCTGTTCTTTGAAGAACGAATTGGCCGGGTAGTAGGGATGGTGCGAGCGAGCGACGAACCTGTACAAGAATGAACCTGATCATGGTACGATCTAGCCCGCGATGGCGACCGGCGAGTGCCGAAATCACACGTCCTGTGACATGTGACATGTCACTCTCTCCAGTTGCGACCTGCACTTTCGTCCAAATGCCGGGCTTGGATGCTGGAACCTTGGACCGCTTAACGCCACTGCCCAAGATCGCGTCCTGCTCAGCGGTCCCGAACAGCCGCTCCCCGCTTTTCGTATACACTCACTGCTCGCCTCCCAGCCCCACATCCGCCTTATCGCCAAGTTATGGGTAGTTCGTTACCCACCGCGACACCATCCCTGCACCCCCTCTTCTGCTGTTGTCATGCGTAGCCTCCACCGACGCGCATGCTCATTTCTCTTTCTGGCCGCGATTGGTTCCGTCTCAGGGTCGTTCCAGATGCCCTTCGTCGAAGACTTGAGCGAGAACATGCGCAACGGACTTTCGCCTACGGTTGCTGAGGGACAGTTCCTCCTCACGGCCGATCATCACGCGGGGATCGTCAAGGACGTCGCCGATAAGCTTGGTGTGGGTCTCGTTCACGACGTGGGGTTTATCGGTCCTCCGGACGCCGGGAATCAGATCTCGTGTGTACCCACCGAGTCGTCGTTGATATACAGTAACTCACAATTGCTCCATGTCTCTCCGCTGAAAGCTTGCAACTGACTTGTACGTTCACTCTCACATACTGCGTCTCCCTCTCACGAGCGGTTCAGTCGAGAACCCCCTCCCATTCGGAATGTACATCGACACTTTCTTCGGGAATGCAACTCAACGCGATGGCGAACTCTTCGTCAGCCTCCTCCACCGTATCAAGTTCTCTCCGGCAGTCTACGTCCCTCCCTTTCATACCATGAAGAGCCCAGTCTTCCGCGGTGCCGAGCTGAATCAAGTTCCTACCTCGAACGAGTGCCGCTTGGATCTCGAGGATGCAGAGATGGAAATACGGTGCGCAACAGATTGTCGATCCAGTGTGCGATGCTGAGCCCGCACCAGTATCGAAATGCCAGTCTTGGGTGCCCAGCTACAGCGCAAGGTGACCACGAAGCAGTCGAATGTTCGTTGCTATGTCAATTAGTGCCAAAGGTGTCCCATACTTACTACCTAGCCGGTCCATGTTCGTCTATGTAATACCAACTGATGACCCGTACGAGTCCGAGCCAGAAACAGCCCACGAGTGATTCACGAACGGCCCGGCTCAGCCTTAGACCAGTCTCCACTTTCGCACATGCGAGGGCCTGAACCTCCGGACGTGTGTTTTGGGTCTGTGACGGACTGTGTAAGGTCTCCTATGGAGGCCGGGAACTATATGCTGATAAACGGAGGACGTATCACTGATACGCGATAGTTTGCCGACATAGGATCAATTTCATGATGCGCTCCATGTCATGATGCGCTCTATCTGGACGGCTGAAAACGTTATACTAATGACCGATGTCTGAATCGTGGATGGCCGCTCGGCAGATATTGATCAGATGATTGACGCAATGATCAAGACCCCAGGTAGCCGACTATCGCAATATCGCAACATCGTAATATTCGAAAAGCGCAACATTCAAGATAGTGTAATATTCGAGATAGCGTAGTGAGCATGTAATTACTGTAATTCACTAATCATTTTCGCGGGAGTCTTCCTCATCCGAGAACCATGCGTACAGATCAGGACCAACAGCTTGCCGCAGCTGATTGATACGACACGCACCCGAGCGATCCGTTGGCCGAGAAGCCCTCTAGCAGCGGCGACTTGACACTCAAGTTGGTTTCCAGCATGTACCCCCACTCGCGCTCGATCAGATCAATTGCCCGCTCGCCCTTGCCGGCCACAAAATGCGCTTGGATCTGTCGCGCAGGTGACACGCAAACCACAAACCACCAGCGCAACACGCACCTCGAAGCCACGGCCTGATGGGCGTCCAGAACTTCATCAGCCCGGCGCTCACGGCCTTGTTCTGTGCGTCCGATGTCGTGAGGTTGTACAGGACCGCGAGCGCGTTGCCGTCCTGCGGGTGGATGCTCCTCGGCAGGTCGTTGCTGCGGAACCGGCCCGCCGCGGCGTCCCACAGCAGGCTGTTGAACGCAGTTTTGATCTTGGTCGCGTTGGCGAGGTATGTGGCGGGGAGGGAGACATTGCCGAGATGCGTCGCCAGGTCCGCCGTGGTGACGAGCGTCTACGAGCTTGATGAGCGCGGATACATGATGCGAGAGACAGAAATCAATCCTCACGCGATAAAGCAACGCGTTTGCCGCAGAGTTGTGTCCGGCGCCGCTGGCCCTGCCCCAGTCGTTCGAGAGCGCAGACGAGACGTTCATCAGGCCGGTCAAGTCCACCTGGCCCTCAAGGAAGCCAACCGCCTTGGTGTAGTTCGCCCAGACAGACTTGATGAAATCGAGGTCGCCCGTGTACAGGAAGTAGTTGTGCGTCCCAATGAGCGACCACGAGATGTACGTGTCGCTTCCCTGGTTGTTCAGCGGCGGCCCGGAGTACTGCAGCGCGCCAGTCGTCAGGTTTTGCGTGCGGAACATCACCATCAACGAGTTCTTGGTCGGCTCCATGTCGCTCAGCGCGACGAGCTCCGTGTGTGTGGAGATGCCGCAGTCGCCTGATCCGTCGCATGAGTCCGAGGGTTAGATCGCGTCCATGAGCATGAGGGGTTACCTGGCCAGATGTTCCTGACAGTACCAATGTCATCAGCAGGGATTGCACACACAGATCGCGACCGACCATTCCTCACCTGTCGCGTTTTGCACCATCGACGAGGATAGGCCCAGTGGCAGCTCCTCCCAAGGCATCGTTGGACCAGCCACCTACAAATGTGATCGCACAGTTTGAGTCCAAAATTCAGATCCACGCCGACACGAACCTCCTGCTGGGCACGGCTCCTGTCGCGCCGTGTGGGGAGGGATTGTGTTGGTCTGCACCCTATAGTGCCTGCTAGCGGTCAGCCCCCACCCACGCCACGCTCTGCCACATCAGCCAGCAAACAGGCGATGACGCACCGGCGTACCAGATCTTCGTGAGGAAGTCGATGTCGTGGAACCCGGGGTCAGGTGCAAAGAAGTAGCCCGGGTACGCCCTGAGATCATCCCAGTGGGGCATGAACGTGATCGCCAGCGAGATGTTCGAGATCGTCAGCGGGTCCGCGCTCGCACTCACAATCGTCAGGAAGCGGAACCCGCCGCGCTGCTGTCCCACGGTCTGCGTCAGCAGCCCCGTGGCTCGCGGCACGTGGAACGTCTGGATTCTGTCCCAGTTCTGCAGCCGTGCGGGCTGGCACGAGTCGTCCAACTTGAGCGGGCTGATGAACTCCGCGGACTCGGTGAACGACAGTGAGAACTGCGACTGGGCCGTCGCGTTGTTGATCGTCAGCGACAGGATCCCCCCAAGCTACAGTATGGGTGTGTGAATTGACCCTCGACGGCGCTGTATCAGGGAGGCCGCGCACCTCCTTCCCCAGTCGAACACGACGTACGAACCGCTGCCCTGGAATGTCGCCTGGGAGTCCGGACTTGCGACGAGCCTGCTCGCGCCGGCGACCCGGCCGCTGATCCTATCTCGAATGTTGCGCTTTTCGAATATTACGATGTTGCGATATTGCGATAGTCGGCTACCTGGGGTCTTGATCATTGCGTCAATCATCTGATCAATATCTGCCGAGCGGCCATCCACGATTCAGACATCGGTTATTAGTATAACGTTTTCAGCCGTCCAGATAGGCGCATCATGACATGGAGCGCATCATGAAATTGATCCTATGTCGGCAAACTATCGCGTATCAGTGATACGTCCTCCGTTTATCAGCATATAGTTCCCGGCCTCCATAGTCTCCAGACATCCATTGCCGTCTCGATCACCTAACCCTAGTCAATGTGCCTTCCTAGCAGAGAAACCGGATTGCAGTGGAGGTTGTACAAAAGAGAAACTGAAATGCTGGACCTTGACCGGGAGGCAAATGCTCGACAGTGAGTGACATGAGGAACTTCTGTAACCAAAGGAAGCGCGCGCATTGGTCGGTTGGCCGTAGATGCTAGCGAACCGTGACGGTACCTCGAGCCGCTGCTTCCTGATCGCAGGGCTGGCCGGCTGATTCCACTGCAGAAGCTGCAACTACATCTCCGTCAGTGTCTTGCGCAGAGACTGCTGGACGAGGCGGATAGACTCGGGTGCGGTGTCTCAGACTGTGCTGAACGTCGCCTTTTTGCTTCTGGAGCCAGCATTTCTGGACACATCGCTGTTTGCTGCGAAGGCTCGGCCTACGAAAGTCTCGAGTATGGAAGATCGACGCCGATGAGCATCATCCGCCTGACGCCTGACCAATGAATTCTATGCCCGTAGGCATCCGGACATGCAGGTGCCGTAGTGCCAGAGTCTGCTCCAGAGAGGCGTGCATGGTAAGCAGCGATGCCACTTAGACGAACCAACGGGCGTCACCAGACGCTGGATTGCGTCCCGGACACAACGCGGGACCTGCGCGTGGGGAAGCTCCTTGACCCTCGAGGGGATGCAGCTAAGGAACACTCTCTAGGATTCTACAGGCTGTCGTGTGCCCGGGCATCGGTTGGTGCTCATGTCGCATACGCATCGAGCCCGAAACCAGTTGCGGCAATGATGGGGACATCCCTGCGGGCATTGGGCGAGGAGAAGTGTGGGAAGAGTGGGTGTCGTGCGTCTTGCAAAGACGGAGCGCTAGTCGCGCCGGGTGCGGCAGATTAAGGAGAACTTAGCCCACTGCGGATAATGTCGGGGTTGTAAGGCCAGGGCAGAACAGTGCTGCAAGAGGGAGTGTTCCTGGATCTTGGAAGGTAGATTCCCGCATGAGAATGTGATACGACGTGAAACTGCTGCCCTGAACGCTTCCTGCCCATCCCTAAAGACGTTGTAAATCCATCCAGCCGCCTTTCCAACACTGTTCCCAGGGGACCGGCCTGGCCTCCGCCTCGCCATGGGAGTTCTGCTCCACATGCTGGATCAGCGTGTCAATCCCCAGCGCTTGCCATATCGGACAAACTTGTTTCACCGCGAGCGCGTTATTGAGGGATGGGTATGGCTTGCGGCCATATTTCGAGAGGAAAGGCTGCGATGCAAGAGAGAACGCGTGCTGCTCAGCGGGATGACTGATCCTGTCACAGGCATCGCTCGGGTCACATCGGCAGCCAGCGGCACATGATCTTATCTGATCGCAACAAGCACAGTGTTCGAAGTACTGCTGCTGTGTGGCACTGCTCGCTCTCCGCGAAAATGGACATGAGTTTTTCGAAAGTTGAGTGAATCAGAAATTTTCACTTCTTCTACTGGATCTTCTCTGTCGTCTCGGCACTGTATCACACAAGCCTCGCCTCTTGGCCATACAAATTACTGGGTTTGTTAGTAGAAAAGTTGTCTTCAGACAGCTTCTGACATATGATAATAATGCCCAGACCCCATCTGTAGCGATGAGTTCCAAGTCATAATTATCAGAACTTCCGATGCCTTCCGTCGATCTTCGAAGGCGGGGCACAGTGTGTTTAGAAGTTTGAAGAAATATGGGGACGTGTCGGGGAAGCACCACCCGACGCTGGACTCATTTCGACGCACAAGATTTGAAGTCTAGACTCTCTGATACATGCCGCGGGGGGCTCAAGGATTATTCTCTTCTGATCATCCTCTTACCGGTGGCGTTCGCTTGGATCATGGGGGGCACCTGCGCGAACACTCTCCGTTTGAAAAATCACACATGGGTACCCAACTCTCGTGGGGCTGACACGCCACTGAGCCCTTCGACGAAGGCTGCATCATGTGCCCAGGAGCTCGGGAAGTACATCAGCTTCAATGACATCGTCCGCACCCGACTCTTGACGAGTCTCACGCGAATGAAAGAACTCGATCGGGGTTTGGGCGCCTCAGGGAGATTCTCCGTACTTGTGCGGTTTATTTCCCTTTGACGTGCGGGGCAGACCGCTGACGCACAGCCAGGCCATTTGCTGGAACGAAGATCATATGATGGTTATCCGGTGAACTGACACTGGACGTGAGCGACGGCATGTGCTGACGGTAGCCTCCTTTCTTGGCTCTGATTTGCGCGAGTCTTCAACGCCACGCGTCGCACTCGGTCAGGGGCCAGCAGTCTTGTAGGCGTTGAAACATTCCCGATATTTGTACCTGTCAGCCTGAATGGCCACACTACGTAGTATCCATCAAGCGTCATCCAAGGGCCGAGTCCGGGCCAGCCGGCCCGTTGAGGCTTGGGCGAGGATGCGAATCACGCATGAGCGTTGGTCTTTGTTCGTGCAACAAAACGTGTCCGGGCGCGGGATGATTTTATCAATCCGCTGGAGCATTGCTGACGCGGATGAACGGGTCATCGGCACAGCGCTCTCAAGTGACTGGAGCAAGAAATATGCACGCTGGACAGGTGAACATCTCTTCTGGAAGGAACCCCAGAAGACTCGGGCGCACCCAGAAGCGTTTCCCAAATGGGATGTGGGAGCCGGAGGAGTGGGAAGGCATCTCAGTCGATTCAGTTCGGTGCATCAGTCCCTGACTCTATCCCGTTTGGACAACAGACACCGCCTCACCGCCGTCCCTTTGAAGCTAGCCTGCCGAAGCATCATGGATGAAGGCCTTTATTCTGAATGCGGCGTGAGGGTATCAGCCATCACTCGGCAAGGAGTCCGGAACTCTCCTGTTTATTATACGGGATTTGTGGGTAAGCGAGGGCGTGAAACCGCGAGATCTCGATGACGATTCGGGTGTTCGTGTGTGAGCTCCGGGACAGATAAAAGGCGGGCGCGTCGAATGGACTCCTCAGGAGCTCATAAGCCTCGATACACACACCCACACCACTCAGCCCCACACCCCTGCTGCGATGCACTCTTCGTTGTCCTCCACCAGCTCTCTAGCACAGGCCAAGACCGAACCGACGGCCCACGTCGAGGCTGTCAGCCACAATCGCGGACCCCAATGCGCGCACTGCAGCTGGCGCGGATCGCATGCGTACGTTCGATCCATCCCATTTGGCGCGACTCTTCGCTCACGACCCTGCGACCTTACAGTCCCACCTGCCCATTCAGTAAGGCCGATCCCACCCCACTTTTTTTGACCGTGCCGTAACGCCTTCCCTGCAGAGTAACCCCGCACTCCCGCACGCTTGATTCTGTATCATCATGACACGTACTCTACATCAGGCACGTGCGTGGTGCATGGGTGCTGAGCGCTGTCTGATTGTCTCTCCCAGCAACAAACTAATCGAACGCCCTGTGCCAGCATCAGCATCGACCCTCCCGACCAATTCTGTTCTGAGCGAGACTTAAGTCCCCAGGCCACTGTACTATCTATCTAGCTATCTATCTATCTGTTCTGTACCATCCATGTACTACTAGCCACCGTACTTTTAACTATTGCATCTCGAAATTTCATCTATGTACCCACGCGCTGTCCCGCAACACTATCCTGCGCGTGAGAGAGCCTTGGCATGCTGACGTTGTGCGCTATAAGAACGTTGTCACGGCTTCGACGCAGGGGAAAGGATATCAGACCGTGTCCGGGGGGTGACCACCTGCGTGGTTGCTGTCATGCGTGCTGTCGGCACATCTCTGGAGCTGTGTCCAAAGGCCAGCAGACCGTTTTGATGGGCTGACTGAGTGCGCGACCCGCTGATCACATACCGTGCGCGAAGCTTGCAGGGCGTGGTGCGCCACCATCCACTCCGGGATCTCAAGCCTCCCCCCCAACGGATCAGCATCCCGAATCTGTCAACGCCCTGGGCCAACGTCATCCCCATCAGCGCTGCATGTCTAACCGCGGTGCCTACGCGCTAGATTGACAGCTACATACAATTCAAAGGCACGCTCCCGCGATGCCAAAAACCCCGTACCTGGGCTGTACACTATCTGGTCTCCCGGTGAATCAGAAATCGGCGGGTCGCAACAAAGTAAGTCAGACGTAGTTCGACAGATTGCTTGGCTCTCGGCGGTTCTTGCTGTCCGAAGCAGCGCGAGATCAGGCAGCCCAAATGCCGACACCCACCCCCACCCTCGGGGAGGGTCGTGTGCCCCGATTACGGCTCGGAAGCGGCGCCGCTTCGACGGTGTGTGATACCCAGAATGGAAAACTTCCCGTTCCATACCTTGTGTTCGCGGCGGTACTTTGGCGAATGGTCAGTGGAGGGCTCGACCTTCGCTCGCGCTCGCATATCCGGAAGTTTCCGTGCAGACTCCGTGCGTATCGGTGATTGCGTTGAGTTCGTGACAAAGCTATGTGGTACGAATTACCGCCAAGTTACAGAACGTCAAAACTGTTATCTGCGCCATGGCGAAGTTGCGCCGGTCCCGGAATATCTGTTTATGAGGGAGTGGTCACTTTGTTGCCAAGGAATCATTTGTCTCAACCGACTGAATACACAACTATGCATGTACCGAAGTAAAGTTCGAGCTTCTCCGTTTGAATTTCAGAACGACTCCGGAGGTGTTGGCTTGAGAACAAGATTTGATAGCGGATCTTATGCCCGAGCACAGTTTCAGTCGTGTGATTTCCCTGGGAGAAACTTATTGATTGGAGGTACCGCTCGATTGGTCTATCAGATAACCCCGCAAAGCAGGCACGTGAGATCTGGCACCATCTAACGCCAAACTTGCGGATGCTTGCATGTGTCGCGGATACTTGGAAAGCTCGGACACACCTGCTTCACGTTTGCGAGGATCGTCGCGTGGGGAACTGGCCTCAATGTGCATTCTAGGGTTCTTTCTGAAGGTCAAGTGATGCTGTGTAACGCCGATGGACGGAATCCGGCCTGAACATGCTCGCCTAATGATGATTGTGTGATGTCGCAGTGGGATTGCAATGTCTTTCACAAGGTCGTCACTTCGTCACTGAAACCTCTATGTGATAAAGCATTCCCCGTAGTGTTCGGTATTCTGTTGAGCACACGACTGCAATGCGTTCAACGCGTGTTTCCGTGCGCATTTTCTTTCAGAAGAAAGAGAATCCTGCGAAAAAACACACCTGGTTGCATTGGTTTTGCAGCGCAGAGAACAACCGTGATGTCCAGGACTTGCAACCAGTCCCGGGAGATGCCGGGTCCATGTGTTGAGCGAGAGCCGGTGGTCATCATGCGCAACTGGAGAATCGAAGACCGTCGTCCTCTTGCCGAAAGGAATATTCCGAGCGGGGACCTCGTCAGGAGCCCCGCCATGTAGCATCCACAAGACAGGCGCATCCGTCGGTGTGAATGTTCGAGAACCTGGGGGACGGATAAATGGGCTTTCTGCCGATTCACGGGCAGAAACCTCGCGAGAATACTCATGTCAGTAGGCGGCGCTTGACCTGGAGCGTGTAATTCGCCGTGTGGTACCGGCGTGAGTCTCATGTAACTTAATGGAGAGAGGGTGACTTCGAAAGAAAAACCCACCAGGCGTGTCCGATACTCGGGATCCGTGACCAAGGCAAGCACACGGGGATTTCACAGCCCAGATGTTGACAGCTTCACTGCAAGCGCTGAGTGCGTTTTTCGGCGGACGATCATTGATGCTGCGACTGATCGCGGAGTAGTGATCATTCGTAGTCGGCGCTCTAATTGACCGAGCCCGCGCAACTTCTTCGCCCGATGAAGGTATCCTCCGGGAACGACTAGGTCACCGAGACCGCAAACTCGGAGCTTGCGGGTGTGTCCAGACCATAGCTGTGACGAAGCTGTCGCAGGTTGTTTCACGGTCATTGCTCTTCGAACTGAGCAAACAAAACTTCGGTCATCTAATCGATCTTATCCGTGATCTTGTGTCCTTCACGTGACAATGCGCGTCTGATCCTTCGGCCAAGCAGACATACATAAAAGATGGTTTCCTCTATCGTTCATGAGCTCGGCTGGTCTGAAGCCCACCTCGAATACCTTCATGTTTCAGAGGTACAACCCTTGAACACATCGACACATGCTGATGATGTGCATCTCTGCTCGAGTCAGAGATGGACGTGGCCAGGGCACTGACGAGCGCCGGCGCGACGCCCATACGTATATATAAACTGCAGGGAGTGTGCATGACCAGGGTTGGCACATCTCTCTACCTCCCATATCCTCTGCAATGTCTACAGAATGGCTGCTGGCACTCTTACCGCTCCTAGCGCTAGCTTATAACTTCGACGCACTCCCGACCAGCTCTTTGTTCCTGCCACTGCGGCTGATCTACTCGACAATACAGCGGGTGTCCGAGAATCCTCAAGCGGCGGAACTCTTCCGATTCATCTTTCTTGGTGCGCGCCACGCTATCCCGACTAGTGTGTGTTCCCCTGACTGAATGGACCCTTCAAGGAACCATCGTTGAGGCGGGTAAGAAACTTGGCCAGCTGCTCATCAGCTCTGGGTCGACGCGTATGTGCGGTCCCTGGCATCGCCTTCTCGGGCGCTGATGCACTAGCCCCACGCAGTATTCGTCGTCAACGCCGAGTTCCAGACGCAAGATTTTGCGTACGACTGGGTCGTGCACTACCTCGTGAGCCAACGCGTCTTCAAGGAGAGTCGATTCTTTCGAGTCGTTGCGCGTAACGCGGCAACGCGCCCCGGCACCGGGCTAGTTGATGGGGCAGAAATGGAAAGGAATCAGAGCGAGATCGACGGGCACCCAGATGCGGTGTACGAGCCTGCTGCTGCGACGCCGATATTTTTCAGGTGGCAGGGGTATTGGATCTCAGTTGTGCGTCCACAAACCAAAGCAATACAAGGCCGCGCTCATATTTGATAGAACAAAACTACGCCGGGATACTATCATTACGACGAGGGGAGGGAGAAGAAGGACACACTGATCATCAGGTGGGCGGCCCGTGTGTCTCCAAAGCTCTTGCTAAGCTCACCGCAACATAGCATCTGGAGCTGGGACCGGAAGATATTGGACCACTTCGTGAACACTGCACGTCAGTACTATATAGACTCGAAGGTCGTGCCCCGGAAGATCGATGTGGAAAACGAACCGGTGCGGGTACCCGCGGTCTCCTTTATATATACATCCTTATCCCGTGAGCAGTCCCACACGCTAGTCACTGCGGTATTTCCACAAGGCGATGCCGCGTACGATTGGATGCTCGCTTATCTCGTGCGTTGCATTGCCCAACGCTCCCTTCGCTCTGAACTAGTCACCCAGCGGTCCGAAAATGCACTCTTACACGCAAATACGTTGACTGTCAGCACCAAACAGAGTGATCTGGGATGGGGGACCGGCGCAGACGACCTAGTATGCTACCTGCCAACAGAGGAAACAAAGCAGCAGTTCCTATTCACCAGCCCGAGGACGGGTGTCCAGACCTGGCTGCAAGGTGCGTGGCCCCGCCCGTCAGAGCGCCTCGGGTATTTGGTGCTAACGTCACTGCAGTCACAGTGAACCCCGGGATCACCAGCTGGAACTCGGACTTGCCCACCGGGGGCAGCGTCACTGTCACGTGTGTTCCAACGCCATTCATCCTTTCCGCATCCTTCTGACGGGAGAACAACAGCCTGCATTCCTGCAACAGAGACATCCTGTCTGATCTCATACATGCAGTGCGAACCAAGTACCTCGAGAACGGTACCTCAAAAGTATCGGTGCATCTCGCTGACAATGTGAGTCTCCTCATGAGCACCACTCTCTTGCCAGAGGTGACCCATTCGCAGCACGGCCAATGGGCGAAAACAATCACCAAATCTCGACGTGCGCTCTCGACACTGATACTCCCGGGAGAGATCAAGGAGCAGATCATCGCCGACGCACGCGAGTTCCTGGACAGCGAGGGGTGGTATGCGGAAGCTGGAGTGCCATACCGGCGGGGATACCTTCTCTGTGAGTGATTCATGCGGAAAGTCTTGTGGAAGTGACTCTGGCTTCTAGATGGGGAGCCCGGAACGGGGAAGAGTTCAACGATTCATGCATTGGTGAGTGCAAAACGACGTTGACGGATGCGCTCACCGATTGGGTTTCAGGCCGGAGAGCTGGGTCTCGAGATATACTTTGTCTCGCTTGCGAATCCCGGGATCGACGATTACACGTTGTCCAAGCTAATCAGTGATACCCCGGCTAGATGCATCATCTTGCTCGAGTCAGTCAACGGGCCCCGAGAGCCATTCGCCTATGCTTACTTGCGCGCAGGGACATCGACTGTGCTTTTCCTTCCAGGGATGAAGCTGACGATGAATTCGGTGAATATTCCCTCTTCAACAAAGGCGGAAATCAGGTTCCACGTCCTCTTCCGCCCCCAAAATCGCAGGTCACGCTCTCTGGGTTGTTGAATGTCCTCGATTCGGTGTCTAGCACAGATGGTAGACTCACTGTTGCAACTGTGCGTTCGGAATCTCATGGTCATTATCCCCAACTCACAGCTCCGTTGGTACTTTTTAGACGAACCACATCGAGAACCTAGACTCCGCACTGATCCGAGCGGGGCGCATGGACATGAAGATCCAGTACACGTTCGCCGACACACCGCAGATCGAGCAGGTCTTTGCCCGCTTTTTCCCGCACTCGACAGACCTTGCGCGAGCCTTCGCCGAGCAGATTCCTCCACACAGATTTTCTGTCGCGCAGATCCAAGGATACCTGCTCACAAAGAAGCGCGATGCGGAGAGCGCCGTGTTTGGGGCCGGGCAGTGGATAGAAGAGATCGAGGACGAGAAAAGAGCCGTGAAAGAGCTCAAGGCCAAAAGGAAGGCGGAGAGGAGAAAGAAGGAAGTGCAGGAAACATCTGATGTTGCCCAGACTGAAGAATCGGGTGTGAAGACCATTGGAGAAACGAATCCTGCAAATACAGAGTAGTGCTTGTCTTCATACCAAAAGCTTCCCAGCTCCAATTCAAACATTTAACCCCACGCTCCGACCAAATTGAAGCCCAGGAACCCTAAAATTCCTGGGCTGAACCAAATCACAACGCTCAGCAATGTAACAACTGCATGCGAGGATGAACAAAGCGCCAGACCTGCACCGACTTCATTTTCTGTCAGTACTCTCTCTGCAACGACACATGGTGTCCCCTCTGACGATGCAGAGGAGGTTACCTCCTGTGCAGTGAGAATCAATCTCTATTCGCCTCCATCTACATCTGATCCTTCGGAGGCCCCTTCAACCACCAATATCATACTGAAATGATATGTCCTGCTATTGCTCAAGTCTGCGGTCATCGATTTTTTGATTCTTAGTTTTGGATGCGCTGGAGATATCATCTCACTTTCCAGGTGTTGGAATCAAATGGCAGGGACGGACGCGAGTTAAAATTAATATTGGTCGTTTGAGCGATCGTCAAGGACGACACCAGACCTCATCCATCAGGTGACAGTGATACTGGTGCGTCTTCCCACTTCTTTACCACAGCAGACTATTCAAGCGCAAAATCTGGATTTTTTTCTATTCCAGACCAACGGCGTAGGGAAATCAGGAATGAAAGGGTCTAGGCATGAGTCGGGTCGATCATCCACGCGCCGAGGAGAAATTCGTGGGATTATTCGTGGGATTGCTCGCCCCGGTTCATGCCCAAAGACTTTTTCGACAGCACAGCGCTTCGGAGAAAGCAATGAGAGTCCCGCAACAGTTCTCCGCCTGACGCATGTTCAGGGGTCTTCGAGCATACAGATCACTGATGTCATCAGGACTGCGTCACTGATTGACCAATGACGTGAGGATCTTTTTACCACGATGAACATCTTCCTGCTTGACGATGTGACGACTGGGCTCTCTGCTTCCATTCTCTAGTCAAGCACGATGAAACCAGCGGCAGGATATCAGAGATGATCAATCTGTCGGTCTTTGCGGGATCTTTATGGCTGGTCCGCTCTCTTGTTTCGGATTTCGGGTCGTAGACCAAGGAGACTGGTGCATGAGCTTGAAGAGGAAAGTCTGAAGCCCCGCGCAAGGCTTTCTTATAACCCAGTCTTGAAAAGAGTCAGGATGATCAATCCTCTGACAATGTAGCGTCCCGAAGCCAAGTCGTTGACACCAGGGCTCAGATTTCAAGCCGCGACAGCTCAGACAGGATGAATACCACCATGGTTTCTATCATTCAATTCTCGTCACGGGCCTGCCCACTTCCAGCTCCCCTGTATTTTCCTTTCTCCACCCAACGCGGCCAGCGGACGGTCTCCTGCTGCTGCGCGTACAATCCACACCTATGCGGAAACCACACTCGTTCTCTCCCACCTTCTGGCTCCCCCTCTTCGTCGTGCTCATCTCCCCGAATGCATTCGCAGCTGTGAAATACTCGACGTTCGATGACACCGACTCTAGCTTCACGTTCACGGGGAATTGGAATGCTATAAGCCCCTCGAATCCGTGCAACGGTTGCGCGTCCAAGCCAGACACGACTCAGATCTTCGACGGGACTTGGCACGATGGCAACACGCTCGGAACCGGCGGTAGCTTCACATTCACTGGTACGCCCTCCTTGGTGTCTTGTCCCGGCATACCACGCGCGCTCACGGCACGCACTGGCATCACAGGCTCGGCTGTGTGGATCTTCGGCATCGACCAAGTCGGCGCGCAACCCAATATCGACTTCACACTCCCAACCTCGACGGGAACAATATCTACGACGCACCACTACACTGGCAACGCGCGGTTCGCGTACAACGCGACGTTCTTCAGCGCCTCGGGACTCGATCAAAGCACCCGTCACACCGTTAGCTGGGTGTTCAATGCCAATTCGCAGTCTCAGTCCTTCGGCGGCCCGGAGGCACTCTTTGACTATGCCATTGTGCAGAACGATGTCGCTGATGCTTCCAATCCGGGGACTGGAAGTTCCACTACTACTGGTGGATCGACAAGCGACTCGGGGTCCAGTGGCGCCGGCTCGGGGGCTGGCACCGGCACAACGACGACGGCAGTGACGAGCAGCGCCACAGTCAACCCTGATACCAATAACAGTCCAAAGTGAGTGACTTAGCCGACTACTTCCGCCCACGACTGAAGAGCACGATGATTTCCAGTTCGTCCCCTAATTCTATCATGTGCGCTATGCCATAAGATAATCCGGCATAGTATCGTTAACAGTTGAATCCAGAGCCAACTCTGCACCCAGTGCCAGCCAGACAAAGTAGGCGATGTTGCCGTCCCGATTCAGTCCTTGCACTGATGTCGTTTAGAGTCGCCCCTGCTTCTGCTATCCAGTCCGTGGCAGGTTCGGCTGCAGCATCCAAACCTTCCGTGACAAACTCGTGCGTCTGGTCTCTTCGTCACGCTCTCTGGAATGAGCGCGGAAGCCGCTGATATCTGTGCCGCAGGATGTCCACATCCCTGAGCGAGACTTCCTCAAGCTCGTCTATTGCCCCTCCGTATGTCTCACCCGAGTCCCATCTCCATCCAACTCTGACTAGAAGCAGATCATCGTCCAATCGAGCTCATTCTACCTCCCTCGCAAGTAGCGAGAGTGCAGTGGCAAGTTCAAAGCAGACCAGCAATTCTGCACCTAGTCAACTCTCCGCTCGCTCGAAGCCCAATCTCGCAATGATCTTAGGTGGGGTGTTGGGTGGCATTACGTTCGGTGGACTGGTCATGCTTGTATTGCTCTCGCGACGGCGCAGAAGGATGAGAAAGGACGGAAAGACGGCTGCGGCACCGTACGCTTTCGAGCAGGGGAACAATCGTCTCTCGTCTGCAGAAGGACCAGCACCCTTGAGCGAGAAGTCAGGTGTGCACCCATCTTATCCCCGTCTCGAGTCTCCCTCACACCTGACCCAGCGCGGCTCTTCCGGAATCTTGGATCGAGCAGCCATGGTCCCAGTAGTGCAGCACCGCTCCCTGATTCTGCGCCACACTTGGGAGACAACGGATCTGCACGTACGGCGACCACGGCGGAGCCAAGTGTTTATTCGACTGCTTCAGCGTCAATGGCGACGCGAGAACGTGTTCTGGAGGACCGAGTTGCCGAGTTGGAGGCTCGCATAATGAGTGTCGGGCAGCACAGGGCGGAAAATCAGATGTCTACGACCAGTACAGCGCTGGCGCCTCCTCCCTACGTGAGGGAAGGGGATGATTGATTATCCACTGGGATGGTGGTCGGTCTATACTGCTTGTAGCACAGAGCTAATCTCGTTCTATGGTACGCGTCTTCAAACACGATGCGTGCCTTTTAGAGGGAACTAGGACGCAGGAATCGTCAGGTCCTCGGCAGAGCCAATCTATACAACCTGGTGATGCAACTCTCAGCCTTCGAGTTGCACGCGAAAATCGGACAGAACAACAGACCTTCGGTGCCAGACTCGCGATCTTGCCCCAGCCCTTCATACGCAGATCCGCGCTGACCACCCCACCAATTCGAGTGCCCAGCATCTCGCGCTTGTTGTTAAGTAGCACCGCAGCATTGTCGTCGAAGCGCACCATGCGCCCGTCGGGCCGCCGCACGGCTTTGCGCGTGCGCACGATGACCGCGCGCCGGACGTCCCCGCGGCGCACCTTCACGGCAGTGACGGAAGCTGAGGCGGCGGCAGTGACGGGGCGCGCGCGCTGGACGACAACAACGATTTCGTCCCCGACGGAGCCCCAGCCGTTATTGACCTTTTGCTTGAGCACGTTCACGCATTCGGCGACTAGGGCGCCCGAGTTATCGATGATCTGCCAGAGGTGCATGTTTTAAATTTTCCTGAGGCAGGAGAGAAGGAGGGGAAGGAAGGACATACATTGAGCGTGCCCTTGAGCCCAATCATAGTCAAAGAGGGATTGAAAGGGCAGAGAAGGGGTGTCACGCGTGACTGCTAGTTTTCAATGACAGTAAGACAAGTATCGGCCGTTGTGTTGAGTGTAGGGCCGGTATCTCGCCAACAGAAAAACGGTTTACACTGATATGTCTGCACAGAGTGCTACATTTCGCTGATGTCCCGATTCTATGTATCTGCATTTGGTGAGACGCGATAAAATATTGTCTTGGTCACACCTGGGGCACAGCCATCAAAGCTTTCTCTTCTACAATGCTTCGGCCATCTTACACGCACGAGTTCCTTACACCGACGCGAGGAGGAGCGTGCCAAACTAAGCACTTGGAAGACAAAGAATGGGCTGGGAAGTACACAAAGAGCTCGCGGCCGAGCGACACATGGATAAATACGTCCTCTTAGACGACAAAGACGTGCCCCCCTTGTTTTGTTCGATGATTTGACGATATAAAAGTCGTTATTTCGAGCGTGCTCATCCCAGAGCTTCACTCCCACTTCAGTTCACATTCTCGTCGCGTGCTGGCACCCGTCGTTTCAATGCCCCATATCACAGGATCCTCCGTGCTTGGACTCGAGATCGAAGCTGTGCGTGGGACTCTACTTGACCGATAATGTCGCTCACTGAAATCCAAATGCACGTCTTAGAACCAGTGGCAGCAAGATCGTCTGGTAAGATCAACAAATGCACGCTATTTTCAGTCAGCTAATTGACTCCGCGCAGAACCGTCTCAGAGCGGATCCAGGAGAAAACGCAAGACGGGCCGAGGTAAGTTCCTGAAAGTAACGTTCCCAGATGGTGATAGCTGAATGATCGGATTACAGCTTCGAAAGGCGCAGCGGGCTGCTGATGCTTTACTCGCTGCCAGTACTTCGGCGAGCGAACCATCGAGAAACGATTCTCCCTCGATAATGCCCAGTCCTTCGAGCCCAGTAAGTCGGTAGGACCCTTCTCCATCTTCTGTTGACTTTTCGGGAGGCAAATCCTGCTCCAGATCCAACTCAAATTGGACTTGACGCCCCAACGCGTACCCCAGTGCGGCCTTCTCTACTCCTTTCCCATCCAGCCTCCTCAATGGTGCTTCTAGCCCCGGAATCCTCTCCGCCGGATTCCTTCGAATGGAACACCCTCTCGCTCTCCATCTCATGTGAGTTGTTCTTGTCAACTGATAGAGCGCCTTATCTGTGGACCTTTAGACGCCCAAACCCCGCTCCCTTGGAAAGGAAAACAGAAGGAAGATCGGGGCCGAGGTCTCACGGACTCCATCACCAGTGAGCGATGGTTTCTCGACAATCGACAGAACTACCCAAGATTTGTGAATAGGAGGTCGGCAGGCTTACTTCGACTAAGCCCAAGTCACCGCAGCCAGTCAGTTGCCTAGAGAGCTTCTCAGACGTTTGTGACAAGCCGGCTGTGGTAACCACCGTTGCTTCATACGGGACCCGAAACATCCTTTTCAAGATCATGATCCGCAACGCTGCTCCCGGGTCAAGAGCGATTCCAACTCTGATGGATCACCTTGAGCGTATCGGAACGCTTGATCCTGGCAGTGACGTCCGCTGTCCATTTTCGGTGAGTCTTGAGATTTCAGGTCGCTGGAAGTGGCGCTTACGGCCGTCGTGCGTTTTCCCAGTCCGTATCCTTGGATCCGTGAGTTTCATAGCTCTGTTTTTGTAGGAAGACTGAGGAGATTTTCAGCCCAGTGCTATTCCTTCCCGGTCACGCAATTCGTGTTCCAGCATCGGATGATTTTATCCTAGCTGCACCCATAGGGTGGGAGGTCCCTCTATCCGAGAGCAGTGCTTCTCCCCTACAGAAAGAAAGTGATTCTCCCTTGGTGAATCTCCTTGTGGAATCAGGGGATGACATACACTACCGCGGAGTGTGTGCGCTGAAAATTTTGTTGAACGCACAGAAGTATATTCTGGACGAGAGTATTCTGGTGCGTATTTGCTATTCTTTAAGTATTCGCGCTCTCTTGCTGACCTAAAGAAAACAGCAAGGGGTCAAGAGTAGCTCTTCGAGCCAAAAATTACAAGGGCAGGCTCAAGAGCGGGTCATTGTGCAATTTTACGGGCTACAGTTCGTCGAGTTTGACGAGGATACATATCAGCGTTTGCAGAGAGCTTTTTTCGAGTAGGGGGGGATCTAGGCATTACAGATACCCGGATTTAGTCTCAAATATCATTCTATGAGGGTATCGAAATCTAAAGCTGAGAATATAGTGAAGCGAGTCGTTCACGGCCCAGCATAGTCGGATCTTTATGAATGATGATCGGAAATGTGCTCGATCAGATCACGCACTTTGACGTGGACGACCTACCACGATCGGCGACGACAGTATAAAGGAGAGCACAGTGAACGCAACATGCAGGTCAGTATCTTCGTCTAGCTCACCGGAATTTCGCTGGTCTCACATATTGCCTTCGCTCTAGATTCTCCCGCATACTGATTCCACGAGAGGTACTGGTGCCTTCTCACCATGACAGCCCCACCGTTTTACTAGCGCACTCCCAAGCAATGCGATTTGTGACTTACAACCTGCGCTACGACTCGCGGCCCGACACGATTTCCGTCGCGCAATCGCTTACGCACCTTCCGGACCCACTGGACTCGCCTCGATACTTGGCGAAAGCGGGCGAGCAGCCTTGGAGCACGCGCAGGCTGCGCGTCGCGGAGCACCTGCTCGGCGAGGGAATTGTGCTGGCTGGTTTCCAAGAGGCGTTGGTCAGGCAGGTGCGGGATCTGCACGAGCTGCTAGGTGAAGCGGACTGGGATTGGGTGGGCGTCGGACGGGATGATGGTCGGGAGGCGGGGGAGTACAGTGCGGTGTTCTACAAGAAGTGCGTCAGAATCTCTTATGTGTGTTGTGAACCTGATATCCTCTCCTCTCTCTACAGATCAGAGCTTGAGTACCTGGGACACGACTCTTTCTGGACGTCTCTGACCCCATTCACACCGTCGCGGTACCCCGGCGCAGGCTCGATCCGTGTATGCACTGTTCTGCAGCTGCGACGACGTCATGGCGGACAGAAGTTCACGGTGCTAAATACCCATATGGACGAACGATCTGAGGAGCAGCGCCGGCTAGCAGCAAGCATGATCCTTGCCCGGGCCAGGTTCGAAGCACACACCAGCGGTTTCCCGGTCATCGTCATGGGCGACTTCAATAGGTTTGCCAGCCCCGGTGCACTTTACTTGCGAAGGCTTACTTTCTGCCGCAGTCCCCCAACAGGCTCGGACTCCGGGGCGTATGAGATATCCACGGGTATGCGTCTGCCGGTGGATGTGCCAACGGATTTTGCGGAACGGTACAGCGTTCCTGATGATGCTGCACCGTTTGTGCTGCGAGACCTCAGGGGCTGTACACCGCGCCGTCACGTATCTGCCAATCACGCAACTTTCACAGGCTTCTCCGCACCCAACGACGCGAGAGCATGGAGCCGCATCGACTTCATTTTCGGTGGGAGCAACGGCGGATGGTAAGTCAATAGCTCAGGGTGTTGGTGACACTGACTTAGTCTGAAGGGAATCGGTGAGATACAAGGTGGACAGTGCCTTGACGGACGATGGAGTGTTGGCGAGTGATCATCGGCCCGTTTTTGCGGACCTTGTACTTTGACTGTGTCGTAATCATAAACATTGAAACATATTAGAAATGTCGACTCCTCCGTCTCATTCTTCACTGCTCCTTGGCCGACTGGGCAAAGCTAGGTGTAACCTTTGTCTATGCGTTCAACTCCTCCAATCTCTTCTTGGTATCACACACAAGCCAAGTCGCCAGGGTACATACTTCGTCAGCCGTCCGCTGGTCTTCCTCTGATAAAATGTCCAGGGGCAACAAAGCGAGCAAAGCCGCCTGGTTGCGTAACAAGCGCAGTATATCGTCCAGCATCTGCGGGATCTTGTCGTAGGCCGATAGCGCAAGGAACGTCCCTGCTGGTGTAGCTACCAGCGTATCCATCTTAGGGAGTTGATGAATCAACTGGTGCATTCGCTCGAGAGCGAAGATCCAAACGCCGAAGCAGATTGGAGCGAGGCATGGGGCGGGGGGAGGCGTTACTGCACGGTCCTGGAGATCAACAAATGAGTCATTTTGAGTTCTGATCGGAAAGGATGTCGAGACGTACGACGACCGCCCGCTCAACAGACGACATCTCCTCCGGACGGTATACCGCGTCTTCCGAACGCAGGTCTCTGAAAATCGGGAGCATCGTAGCGGATGGTAAAGTCGGCATTGAAGACATTTTCGGTGAGTGTGAAGTCGGCTGACAGGGACTAAATCGAGTTGTGTATTCGACGGTGTATTGCAGCATCTCGCTCTCCTTTTATAGACTCCCGAATGCGCCGGTGCGCTTTGATGGCTCCATTGTCAACCGCTCCAGTCAAGCGGGTTGAAGGCCCAAGAATAACCGAAGGGCACAATCATTGTCTCATCCGTGGCTTTTCGATTCTATGTGGCTACGCGCTTTCGAATTCTTAACAATGTCGACTGCCAAAGATGCTTTCCTCATTGGGGAATCTGGCTCCTCAGACTGACGACGGCCTCTGGCAAAGTTAGGACCAATCGAGAGTCCGAAGTTCAACTATGTAGGCACATTTAATACGGGGATTACGGCCAGAAAGATCAGCAGAGTATCAGAGATGTATCAACACCGACGATCAGGCACAAATGAGTTTCAGTTCAGGATCATGACCGCGATTGCCAGGGTCCCTGCGGTGCGAGCATTGTCTGTGGCCAACGCTCCCTTCCTGTAATGTGAAGACCGTTGAGCGTGGGAACACCGCAAACGTAGACGAAATCACGAAGCATTCGATTGACATGTCTATGTGCATGTGACAACCTGGAAAGTTGGGCAGGTGATCGCGATACTCACTCGCTCCCATTCCAGCCATGCCCGGATGAAGATCCTCCCAGACGGATGGGCCCTCGGGATCAACAGCTTTGTCTTTGGTAATATCCCATTTGATACGCTCTCGACGACCAACCATTGATCACTTACCCGATGCTCCCATGCTCACATACTTAAATGTTCTTCCCGCATTCGCTAGTCTCCAAACGCGACCAGAGTTGCTTCCATCGTCTGGATTCTGATGCAAATGATGAATTTGCGGTGTCGGAGAACGCACACGTGACACCACTTGCAGCCTCACCTCGTCTCAACGACCAGCCGTTGTACTTGGAGGCTGTGCGTGCAGCGATGGGCGCTGCGACGATATTTCTTCGATGCACATTGCATCGAGGTCATCTCAGTTGCGCGCTGGTGTCCGGTTGCAGATCCGAATTCCTCGTGCAAACCCTATAATTGGAAGTCACAAATACACCATTCGGTCCAAAAGTGGATGATGCTGTACGGATGACACCAGTCTTCATTAGTGTCTGAGTCATTTCTCTCTTCACTGTTCTTCTCCCTTGACATCTCGGTTGAGCGCCAGGCGCTGATACCATCCCTAGTCAGAACCCCCAATGGCGAGCATTTCGTCTTATCACGACCGTAAGGCTGTGAAGGCTATACGAAGCCCGGCCGCTTTCGAGGAAGATCTTCACAAGCGCTGATTGTGCAGCCCTTGTGGTTATCAGTCACGCTCCCGGAGCCGAGCGCTGAATGGGGCTGTGCATGATGCGTGGGCTTAGGAAGCTCTCCTGGACGCAGTCAAACACTGTTGGCGGTCTCCGATGAAGGTCAAACAGCGACAATGGCGGTAATGACACGCCGACTGATATGGCTGGCTCTGTCGCCGTGCTGTGGACACGGATGGCTAGAACCATTGCTGCTTTGTCGGGTGAAACATGTGAGTCAAAAGGGAAGCAGTGACAATTCTTTAGCGCATATAAGATCTGTTTTCGCACAGCACCTCAAATCTGGCTCCTCGAACCATACAACACTTCCGTCCATGCCTGCCAGCCCGGAGTCGTCTCCAACCACCACCAAGAAATCAAACCCGTTTACAAAGCGGCGGAGAGCTTACATGGCATGCACAAATTGCAGGCAGAGGAAAATCAAGGTACATCACCACACCTCCTATGAACACGTCTCTAACGGATGACAAGTGCATCACATCATCCGAGGGCGACTCCCGTCCGTGCACTCGATGCGCGAAGCGCAAGCTCCACTGCGAATACGTTGCCGTGCCCGAAGAGCTGGCGTACCAGCACGAGCAGTCGCACTCGCCAGAACCTGGGTCTTCGCTGAGCTCCCAATATCCTGAAACTGACGGCCGGTGGCCATCTCAATCGATCACGCCGCCCTCCGCTGGCCTAAGAGCCGCGGCGGAGCAACGTAGTTTGGGGGTGTCTGAACCGTCTTACCCACGCCCCGGCTTTCCTGGTCATCCGCAGTACAGCCTGTTTGCTGCGCAGCAAGCGCAGGCTGTGGCAGGCGGGTTGCCTGGCCCACACACCGGTCAAAGTTATCCGTACACAGATTACTACGACCGGGCAGGATATCCGCAGCAGTATGTGTGAGCGTTTTTGTGTTGTATGGCTGTGACAATGTGCTCATCCCGTTTTAACAGTAGTTGTGTCTGTCCTCCATCCGGTGCTTGTTATTGCGGTGGAAGATACCATCAGCAGCCATAGGACTCTCTATTTGACCCTCGATGAGCAAGTGATCGCTCGTTTTACATGGAGATTGTGCTCTTGTTTTATGTTGCTTTTTTATAGATTGAGATTTCCATAACCAGCCATGGACCGTCTCTACACCGTGTGATCTGTGAGAGGCTAAGACAATCTGATCTATAAACTCTCAGTGTTCTGTAATGCATCCAGAATAAACACCCTTTCTGGGATATTTGACTCATTGCCACGAAGACCTGAAATCGCCGCCTGCTGGTGTCGAATCTGTATCTAGTGAGATCCTGCCTGAAAGCTGTGCGCAACAGCAATGACGCCATCCCGAATTGCTATCTGATAACAGCTTTCCGAGATTCCACTTCACATGATTTCAGGCTGGATGTTCACAGAATTCTAGTCCTTGATTAGATCGTTGAGTTTTCGGAAGCTCTTAATTGCGCTGAAAAGGTCAGCAGAATAATCTAAAGCGGCTCGGTGAGGTGGGTCCCTGCGGGACTCGAACCTTCCATCTCGTCGTTGTCAACGACGACAGCGCGGCGCCTCATGCAACACGTTGGCTTAATTCTTGCCACATCATGCTACATACTAACATTGAAAAAATGTCAAATGGGGCCCTCGACATCGATGGCGGGACTTGAATTTTGCAGAAGTCCCGCAGAGAATTCTTGATGCCAGTCTCAGATAGGAGATACAGTACATCCCATGCGATCGGTCCTGTGCATGAGCGTCTACAACCTTCGCACCAATTCGATATCACCCTCATTTTCATCTCCATCTGTTTGATCGTCAGTCTCTGTTCTGTAGGTACTGCGTAAGCTATTGATCAACGCACAACAGGTGCGGGTAGCAACTACGTCGCTGACGTAGGTCGAGAATATCGGCGCTCCATGCGAGCTTGAAGCTCTGAGCGCTGTGGAACGGCTAGTTGAAGGAGCGGGTACGCTTTGCAGCGCTGGGTCACGGAGGTTCAGCATTAGACGTGAGATCATGATCGACGATATACTGAGCAGGTCAATGAGCATAGATAGCATGAAGGAAAGCTGACTGACACATTCGTGAACGTAGTCAGCACACCGCGGGTGAATGACTAGATGATATGTAGATATTAGTCCAGACCAGGATCGGATATCAGAAGGCTGACCTTTCCCATCTACATCCCGTTGGTTTTGGATTAAAGACAGAGTAGTGAAGGGGACGTACGATGAATGTGAGAATGTTTGCAAGATTAACGAGAACGATAACGCTGAATCCCAATCAACACAGATGAACCGTCGCAGAGCAGAGACGAACACGCACCCAAAATAGATTGAACCGTCTCTGAGCAGAACAGTCATGAGTCTGACGCCCTGCACCCGTCTTTGACTCAACGCGCGATACAGCGTCAGCAGGAATATGGTGCAGTCAAAGACACCCATCCCGGCCCAGGCTGCCGCGAGTCCGAGAGCCCTGACGTGCAAGTCTGGATCGAACTGATGGGGATATGCACAACCGAAGATACGCACTGAGATTTCGTCACCGAAGAAGTGCAGCCGACATCAAGCGCGAGCGTCGGGGCCACTTCGTTCGTGGCTCGCTTGGGTCCAACCAGAACTGCCCACTGATGCGAATTCGTCAGGCGAATAAAAGGGCGGCCAGGATCTACTAACCACACCCACTGCGATCACGCCACTCGCGACCAGGACCATCAACACTAGGATGCGCTTGCTGCGTTCGTACAGTGCGTAGGTGCGCAAAATGAGCATGACTGGAGGAAATGATCAATTCGGCCAATAGGTCGTAGATGGAGACAGATACGCGCACCCCCGACAATTATCTGAATCGCCACCGCAAAGTACTCGTGGTACGAGTGCAGTGTTGCGCATCTATCATCAGTCAGCGTTGGCGTATCAGCACCCAAGCGATCGCTCTCACAGCTAATGCATCGTCAGACTCGGCGGGCCGTGGATCTGATGAGACAAAGGTGGAACGCACTGCAAGCTTCTGATCTGGCGTGCCCCGTGCCCAGAAGTACTGGATGACGACTGGGACGGTGCCGAGCAGCATTCCGTATCGATTTAAGAAGAAGAGGACGTTTGGTGCCGTCGCACGAGGGCTCCAGTAGCGCGTTACTTCCCATTCGAGCGTGAGGAGATAGTCGTAATAGAGGAGCGTGAACGCAACGAGATTGGTATCGTAATTCCAGGTCCTGGATCGATCCATCGCAAACGTAAGCAGCCAAAAAGCGACTGTCCCGACGCGACGCACAGCTCTTCCTGGATCCCGCCTACGCTTAAGCTCGTCGTCGTGTTCGTTTCCATCGGGCGCACAGGCGCATCGACGCCGGAGGGGTAAGGCGGCCAAGTGGGTGGAGAAAAGATTCGAAAGGGAGCCACCCGACGGCTATGCGCATCGGATAAACGCACCCCGGTAGCGGCATCAGAATGGGTGGCGCTCGATCAGGTTAGATCCCATCACCACGCGAGACAGACATGACATGACACTCACGTGCCGTGATGCGCACCCGGTGCGACCCATCCCCGGATGACTCAGACCATTTCATCCGGGACTCAAAGCGCATTCGATGGTCTGGTCTCCAAATCATCCTTCCATACCGTGACTTTTACACTGCGGGAGGTAACCCACGTTCGACGTTTGCCGCGTCTATTTCAAAAAATGTCGTATAATGCACAATACAGCAGGTCGTAAAGGAATGCGTGCTGAATATTTGTCGTGTGCATGGGAGGAATTGTATTTCGCGGGAGTCATCGATACAGATAGCTATTCAGCTATGTATCTCCGCCGGGGCGTTGCATTATCATCTGGGCTAGTCACCCCCAGCTTTTCCTCAAGAGTGTATTGGATTAGCGGCCTGTAGATTTCTTTGGGACGCAGTTTTCAGCGAAAAACTTCCGCTGAGCCGGTCTTTTGACAAAAGATCTAGGATACAGCAGGAATCGACTCTGTATCATGTTTCTTCCTCTCAGTTGTTCTTACCACGCATGATATAATATCACCAGTAACTTCATTTTCACCACGAATGATTTGTAACTTTAGCCCATTTCGGAACTTACACTCCACACTCTTACCCTATAGTGTTTTGACTGTCACCCCAAAGCTCATGAACTTGCATCCCTTCTGTGTGTCGTGCTTACAACTGGTCATTTTCCATGGAGACCCGAGATTCACAGCGGACAGTACGCCTATCTGATCTGCTGTCCCATCATGTAGTCACTGCACATCGAATCGCAGTCCAGCTCAAGTACTATGCGTCACGTCGAGGCAAGCACAATGGGGATTCGAAACGAGGGATTCTCTTCACTTGGTTCTCTTCCAATATACATTGCTGTATCGCAGCTATGGTATTGAGACAAGTATGTATGTAGCGGACAATCAGCTCGACCTTCGAGATATCAAATACACAAGGAAATACGCGACTAAGGCTCTCGAAGGCAACTCTGTTGAGTATCCGAATACTAAGTAGTGTAAGACCCACAATCGAGAATCTTGGCCAGCTACCTCACAGTATCACACACGGGAAGCTGGGCGAGGAATGGTGCTACAGCTCCGATAGGTGGATGCAAAGACCTGTATGAGTGGATCTTCCCCAAGATATGCTCGATCGTGGAGTTCGAGTAGGCTAACCCGCGGCACAAGGCGGTCGGCGTCGGCAAAGGCATTGCAATCAGTCGACACGTGGGATGACGTCGTTTCTTTGTTGTTTGGGGCACGTGTGACAGTAGAGGAACCGAACAACGTCCGAACATGCTCAAGATTTTTCCTGTTCTTTCCCACCACCATCCTCCCGCTCACAAGCACCTCTGTCATTTCCCGGCATAACCCTCGACTGTCCCTTCTCCATGTTCTCCACCATGATGTAATTCCCCTTGCATATCTTCCCAGCCTTCATCCATTCTGACTTTTATTGGAATCCTAGTCCCGCTCTTACCCTTGCCCTCGCACTGACCTCCCAAGTCAATGCACTCTCCAACCTTCAAGCGCCGTCGGGTGCGACTGTCAACCGTAACATGACCGTCACCTGGTCGTCCGACTCGTCCGACTCGGGCACCTTCACACTGGCGCTGTTCAGTGCCGCGATCAACCAGACTTATGTCCGTGTCTCTTCGTCCTCGATAGTGGTGTGGAACTCACTGGTTGACAGACTGGTGGCCTTGCCCTCGCCAACACGGTGGAACCTTCTAAGAACCAGGTCACTGTTCTATTTCCGCCATTCGATCCCGGGTAAGCGGCTGTCTCTCTCTGCGACACTTCGCCGCCTTGTCGAATTTATATGTAAGATCAGCGATCAGCTGGCTGCTTCTTGCTAGTGATGGACTCTGAACGACGTCACGAACAACAATCAAACTCTTTTGTCTCGTTGGGTTACTATGCCAGCCGCTTACCCTTCCCAGATCGTACTCCCTCGCCGTGATCTCCTCCTCCAACTCTTCGGATGTACTCGCTACTTCGGGTCAATTCACGGTCAATCCGGCGCCCTCTGGATCGCAGAAATTGTGCGTCTTGCTTCCTTTCCCATTGGCACTTGAGCATGTGCCATCAACATCAGCTCGCAACTGACTGATACCCGTCATCAGGTCTCCGACGGCTGCTGCTTCCTCCGTGGCCAGTGCTATTTCGAGCATAGCGTCTAGCATTAGTTCATCGATCGTCAGCGCCAGTGCCTCAGCCTCAGCCAACCCTAGTCCGAGTGCGGCTGCCAAATCTGATGCGACCCGAACCTCTGTTTTCTCCCTGGGTGCTGTGGTCGCTGCTGTCCTCATCCAGGCTCTGGCGGCGTGAAAGGCTTTCGGCACGCGTTCTGTCTATCTTCTCAGGTCATGCTCAGCCTCTTCTGTAACCCGTCGCAGTTCAATATTTTGAAACCGTGTTCTCTCGCTTTCATACGTACCACTCTCTTGTTGTGTTTCTTGATTTTCTCATACGTACTTCTCTGTTGTCTGTACAGCCCGTTCATGTACACGCGAAAGGTATCCGTAGAGTTGTCAAAAGATGTCTTTTGGACCATTGTCACCTTTTGTCGAGCTCGCGAAGTTGAACCTTGTATTTTTAGCAGGGGGCCTGCAACAATTCGATTGTACTCCTTATTCCCTACGGTCCGTCCGGTCGCACGGAGACCGGAGAAACACTATTCTGATCAATCCGTCTACATAGTACAAAGCGAGCGACAGTAGAGGAACCAGCTGGAGCGAACCCCTTCGGGAGCGCACGATCATCACCGATGGCCGGCTTCCCTCGCTGCCATGGACGATCCTCCGACCGCTCGTGTCGAGCAGGCCGCATCGGCTCCGTGTACTGCGGTGTCATGGCAGCGAGGTGCACTGTAAGCGGCGTGAGCGGACCCGGTGCCAGCATTTTGTCCTAAAGCGAGAGGAGAAGAGGTTGAGTGAAGACCGACTGATATAATACTGATTCACTACCGACAGTCGCAGAAGGAGTTGAAAGAAGTGTCCTGGGACGGCTGTGCGGCTCCAATCGCACTGGTGTGGTGCTTACCCTTCTGATCACTGACATCATGAGCGGCACCAAGCGCCAGAGTTACGGGAGAAATGCAATGACCCTTTGAGCGAGTAGCGAGCTGTCCGCTCTGTGCTGGTGCACCTACGCAAATGATGATCGTGGCCGATCTGGTACGTTCAAAAGAGAGCGAGACTGACCTGGCGGAGCACGTGATCCAGCTCAGATGATCGTCTAACCCTATAATCGTTCCTTGTTGGTAGTCATACAAGAACATTTGTGTAGCCCATGCTGTGCCGGAAGAAGCTCCCGGTCTCCCACTAAAAGCTAGCTCCGCGGATCAAGCTCTACGAAGAAGCACTCAAGGTATGGTCCGTCGACAGATGACCACCCTCCCCCCGATGATCGCCCGGCGTCATCAGGGCACCAGCTGGAGAGTCATATCGAACATGAGGTACGGAATGTGGGGATGGAGTGGGCAAAACACTCCGTGGGTGGGATTGAGCGGTAGGTACTCGTCCTGGTCGCCCAAAAAGGCAGGTCCTGGAGCCGGCTAGGCCTCGAACTTTGCCTCGAGATGTGATCTGGATTCGGGCACTCCGGGTGAGATTGGAGACATATGCGCATGGCTGGTTGAACAGGTGACTGGTGCCGTATTCCGGCATCGTTTCTCGCCACCGTCTTACTCGTCGGGTTCGTCAGCAGGCAGGGGATTCTCCGCGCGCGCTCCGGTCCCGCCGGGGCTTTGGGACCGTTGTCTTTCCCTTGGCCGCTCATTATGTAGTCGGCGGGAGCAGGTGACGGATGTCGCGGGGTTCAATTCGGATGCCAGGTCTGTGGCGGTCAAGCTTGTGATTTTCTACTCGGTTGTTCCGCTGACCCGACAGCCGCTGTTCAACGTTCCGTGGGCTAAAAACAGCATATGCATTGAAATGGATTACTACTTTTGTCTGTGCTCAAGAGCTATCGTGCACAGCGGGCCTGATCCGGTCTTTTCTTTCCTGGCGCCCGCCTTGCTCCTTCTTGCATTCTCGGAGCCAATTCCATTCTTGTGTTGTTCTTTGCGAGCGCAGTCAGAGAAAATGCCATTCAATGCCTACGTGGAAGGAATCCGGCCCGTTCCTTATAACACGCCGCTATGATTCTACCACTTGCCACGCATCGTCGTCCGCCCGTTCAGATCCTCGTCCAGCGCAACTACCATGCGTCTCTCTCTGCCGGTCCTCGCAACCGCTTGCCTCGTTCTCAGGCAGGCTTCGTCGCAGCAAATCTATGACATCGTGCGTTCTCGCCAGCGTCTCTCGTGCCTGCTACAGCAGCTGACTTGTCCCTGGCCACCCTCAGTGGCAGACGACCTGGGATCGGGCAGGATTGTTCACATCTCTCGCTCCCAGCAACCCGATCAACTTCGGATCCCCTGGCTCAACTGGTTCTGCGGACATAGTCGTCACGGAAACACAGGTGTACCAGTCGATCAACGGCTTCGGCGGATCCTTGAGTGAGTCGTCTTCTCCTTCGTGATGAGGGATTCTTGGATCTGACGGATCGTTTCCGCAGCTGACTCTTCTGCCCTGACGCTCAACAACTTGAAGGTTCCTTACTTATCCCCGCGATATTATCCGAAACTAAGCTGCTTGTCCAGAACAAGAATTCCGCAAATTATTGGTCGATTCTAGGTCACCTTTTCTCTGTCGCGGACGGAGCCAACGCGGCGGGATTTTCGTATCTCCGTGTTCCGATCGGCGCATCCGATTTTTCTGCATCTGGTCTGCTATTTTACTTGCACATGCCATCCGCACCATTGAAAGATTTTCCAGCTTACAGCTTAGACGATACCAATGGGGACATCATTTTTTCTCGGTTCAACATCAACAACTCGCCATCCTATCTCTTCCAGACGATCCAAGATATTCTTTCGATCAATGCCGCTTTGAAGGTATCCCCACTATCTCATCACCTTCGGATTAGATCTTAATGCGCACCGCAGGTCCATATCGTCCCCTGGAGTCCCGTACGTTTCTGATACCCGAAAAACTGACAAAGATTCACACTGTTTCAGCCGGGCTGGATGAAGACTACGGGAACAATGAATGGTGGCACGATCCTTTCTCAATATGTTGGAGTCTGTGAGTAATTTCCCTCGATGTTCACAAGCCCGATTTACCGAACATGCCCAGATCCGACGTATCTTTTGAAAGCCGTGCAAGGATTCGTGAGCAAGGGCATCAACGTTTACGCAATATCTGTGCAGAACGAGCCTGAGAACAGGTGCGTCGTGAACTTCCTGGTGAGGACCATGCATCTGATCTCGCGCAGCAACCCGACGTATCCGACGTGTACCATGACACCGGGTAAGCGGCTTCCATCATGTGACCGAGTTCCGATCATGACGAGCACTGGTAGCAATCGAGGGCCAGATTGGGACCGCCCTGCGGACTCTGATGAACAGTGCTGGGCTGTCCAGCGTCAAGCTGGTGGGATACGAGGTTCGTGCTTGTGCTTATTCATGATCTTGACGGTGACTCATCTTGTGCTCAGCATAACTGGGATGACGCAGCGACATACCCCGTGACTCTGGTCAGTCAATCCATCCTTCCATGTCAACTAGCACGCTCAGCTGTCATGCATAGATGCAAGACGCTGGGGGCTCGTATGATGGGGTGGCTTTCCACTGTGAGTTTGGCTTTCTGAGAGATTCGTGAGAGAATCTCATTCAGTTCATAGGCTACGCCGGGAGTGTGTCGAACCAGGCCCTGTTCCACCAAGCTTACCCGAACAAGGTCGGTTGACTCAAACATAGTCGCCTGAAGATTGCGCTGATGGTCGATTTCAGAATGTGTACTTCACCGAATGCAGTGGTACCATCGGCTCAGATTGGTGGTCTGACATTAAAGTGAGCTGCCCTGTACGATCCATCTATTCATGGCCTGGCTCACACGAATTGGCAGTGGTATATGAACAATCTCTGGATTGGGAGTCTCCAGAACTGGGCGGGAGTCGGACTCATGTACAATATCGCACTCGACGGCCAAGGTCTGCCAATTCTGCCGGGAACTAACAGTTGTGGCGGTGGCTGCCGGCCGATCGTGACTGTCAACAGCGATGGGTCATTCTCCTACAATCAAGAATGTGAGTTCTTCGACCTCTCCCAGTGATCGCATGTCATTGACCAGTGCCCAGTCTACGCCATGGCCCAGGCCTCCAAGGCGATCATCCCGAAAGACGCTGGGGGACCCTGGGGATATCGGATTGGAGTTTCGGTTCAAGGAAGTCTGGCGTCTACGCTCACGGTCGGGGCGTACGCGACGAAGCGACTCTCCTCCACTGACTGGAACCGGTATGCTTTGGTTGTGTTGAACGGTGGGTTGCATCCCACGCTTGGCCAAGACTGCCGAGAGCTGATGTGTCTGACAGAGAACGATGGGGCGTCGTCGACTTGGAATCCTGTGCCTGTTCGCGCGACCATCGAGTTCCGCGGCGCGCAGGCCACGTACACTTTCCCCGTCGGTGAGCATTTCTCCTGTTAACGTATCCTTCAGCGAATACTCAACTCATTGCAGGTGTGGTGAGTTGATATGGGTGATGCGGCTCTGTAGCTTTCATCTCACGATCTACAGACAACGCTGTGGTGGTACTCCCCACCCAATTCTTCCGGCCGCAGAGCCTACATTTCCGATTCAAACGAAACTTGGACACCTGCAAACGAGGTGCACGCGAGAGTGCCCCCCGTCTCTATCGCGGGGCGCATCAATCTCACCGTCCCCGCTGTGATTCCGTCGAGACCGAACATCACATTGATCAAGGGCGCGGGACTTCCCGCAAATGCCGTCTTCGTTCGACCTACACCGTTGGCAGGCTAGGTCAGAACCAGACAGCAGTAATGTAATTATATACACGAGCACTCACGAATGTATTCCTAAGTATATGCAATGTTAATGAACATGAACACCATAATCTTCCGGTCAACATCTCATCAAACGCATCAACGATTGATCCTAGCCGATGTGACGGTACCTTCAGCTCCCCCTTTCCACTCAATCTGCCGCTTTGGGTGATCAAGATGGCCGGATACTCCTTCCTGTCATCATTAAGGCAGACAATTAGGAGCATCATCCAGGTGCATAAGTCCCCATAATCAATTTTTAAGCATTGCGCGCATCCCCTGCCCTCCTCCCTCCCCTAACACATCTCTGCTCACTCTTTCCAAGCGCGCTCCGTCATTCTTTTTTGATAATCAATACTCGTGCCATGCCCCCCTTCGTCCACGTCTTCCAAGACTTTCCCTTCGACAGCTCCAACGTCCTGCTGTCAGTAATCCGGCATATTACAGACCATTCACGGCGCTACGGCATCCAAACGTACTATTCTGAGGAGTACGGCTTGCCCATGGAGACGACAATAGAGAACCGTGTCGGCACGATCTGCGGCGTTATCGACTGGGAGAAGAAGTCGTTCCGCATTGGGTCTAAGATCGAGTGGATGGATACGATGAGGAGGAAGGCGGGCATTTTCTCTTCGTGAGTCTTCTCAAAATTCTGCTGATAGAGCATGTTTCATCGCCTGCAAGGGCGTACTTCTGGCGGTGGCTCGAAGGGGAAGAGTTCCGCGTGCAGTATCACAACTCGGGTGACTACTGGACGGTGCGTCGGACATCCCATCAGCTTATCTCCCTTCTTATGCTGAGCGCATCCTATGTCCAGACAACCAACGCCAAGGGAGAAATTATCGCCGAGCTCAAGCTGTCTACCCTGTCACCCCTATATGGCGATGGGGAAGCGAAAACTCTCCCCGTACTTCGGATCAGCCAGATGATTTGGAACGAAGATGAACGGCTGTTCTTGTTGTTGATCTTGTTGTACTCGGAGGCGCGACGAAGAGTTCAAGGGTGCATCACCATCTAATATTTTGTGTTTAATATTTATTTCTATATGCAGCTATGTAACTAATGGATTCTGGATCAAGTACGATGAGTTCCGGCTATTGCAGAATCCTCCACAGCTCAGAGATGATCAAGGATCATCGACACAAGTATTTAAGTCTGCACCGCATGTAATTGCATGAAAAGCGCTGCAGAATATTGTGTATTGGCGTTGACCGTATCAGCAATTGAACATGCATCAAGTCGAGTCTCCGATCCAAAGGGATTTTTTGTTTCTTCCAAGCCAGGAATGATTGATAGCGCATCAGGCGCATCGATATTCGCTCTGATTGTTATGTCTACAACACTTGAATTTGTTTCGGTAGCAATGTTCATACCGCAGCACACTGATGCTTGGCACTTGGACTAGATTCCAAGTTCTACCAAGCGTCACTTGGCAAGAATGGCTTATGGCATTAAAGCGCGGCATCCCGAACCTGGTGCGCCACCATCCGCATTCGAATAAACCCGAGTATCCAGACGTGACTCAGGTCTGTTCGCCGATGTCAGAACTCGAATGATAGATTCTTTCAATTTCTCCCACTTGGAGATTTCTGTGTGAAACGGGTTTCTCTTGTGAAGATTCACACCCACGACAGTTGACAAGGTACGCTTGAATGGACAAAGACGGGTGGTCACTCATTCGATTCCATGGGTCTAAGAACAAACACGCTGGCTGCGTGAACGTAGGGATGTCTACATGTTCCAGTGTTGCTGTGCAGCGTAAGGAATACCCTGAGCACCTCAGTCACCCGCTGATCAATCCTTGCGCCCGCTCTGACGCTCTGACGAACCGCAGTCCAAGGTCACTGCGAGGGGACGAGTCGATAGCTTGCTGGATTCGAGATGCAGCATCTCTTTTGTTTTGCCGATGATCAGACGACTTGAGTAACTGTCGTCATGGATAGAGGCCACACACCTATTCGCCACCCGCACGACATTCAGACCGGATGTATTTGTGGGCAGTGTGTGCGGACTCAACTCGGACACCCAGATAAGCTCGATCTGCGTGCCCCAAGCGACTTGATGCCCGAATGTTTCATGCAGATAGCCTCGGAGAGTTCGCATGAATCGTGTGGCATTCATGCGAGGCAGCGTATTGATGAGGAGATAGAGGGGTGGGTCGTCGTAGGTTTCCGGCACACTCGAGCAGCCGTAGCTCGAAGACATGGTCGCGGTATCGAGAGTCAAGGTGTGAGTTTGAGTAGCTTTCCCGGACGATAAACGTTTTCGCAGGTTTTTGGCATATCAAGCACTGCATATGAATCATCGGCTAGGTTATATAGCGTTCTGCGAAGTCCTCGGCCCGGGTTTGCTTCTTCTCATCCGACAATGTGCGGACTCCATGCCGATGCAGTTCTCGAGCTTGGCGTGCCACCGAGCGCGTCTTCTCTCGAAGAATCACCACGTGCGTGAATGCGGGGAAACGTCATTGCATTTGTCAATCACAAAATCTTGATACTATCAAGGTACACTGGAATGGGCGTTGTACACGTGATCGTGTCTCCCCTACCTCGCGCGGGCTCTTCGTTCTCACTGTCTGGCTGTTCACGTTCCCGTAATATTCAATGCATTCGCGCGTTCATTCTTGTTGCGTTGCGCTCGACCCACATCACTGAAGAAGGTGATTTGATTGTTATCTTGTACTCCCCGGGGGAGAGGGGAGCGCGTTCCGGTGGCGCCCGATTCCACAGAAGTAAGCATAATCCTTGACATGGTTCCATATGCTCTGGCTTGAAATTCTTCACGTCCAACCGCATTCCCATTGCCCCAGTCCAGCTTTGGGTGCAGCACCCACTCATCCAGCAGCCATCTCGGTGATTCGCAGCAGTTCGTATCTCTCTTACATACAACATTCTAGCTCGACGCTCAACGAACAAGCTTTAACACAAAAAGATAGTCAAAGTCCATTATCGGGTCGCGCCCAAGCCAAGCTTCGTGTTTTTTATGACAGCCGTCAGTGGAGCATGTAGACCGTCCTTACCAGCACCGATCCGTTCACCCTCTGCCCAGCCCATCATGGCGAGCAGCTTGAAGCCGACGTTCGACTGGCTGATCTTAGGTGCAGCCTTGCCAACCTCATCTCCGTCTCGATGCTTGGGCATCACCGGCGCTCTACCTCTAGCAGACTGCACAAACTCCTGTCCTCGCGATCCACCCTGTCTCACAATCCGCCCTATCTTCTTTTCGTTTACCACCAGTCCGGTGCGCGTTGTCTTGGTCAATGTCGTGTATCGGGAGTCGCCTTTACCCTTGCTCACACTTGACAACCCAAATGCCATCGCCATCTCGTGCACACTTTTGCGGGTCGCCTTGTCGCACGGCGGCAGCGTCATGCTCTGAGGACCCCCAATGTTCCCAATGAACCTCCGGATCTGCTGCTCGAGCGAGCTCATGTCGATCACCCGGTTGGGAAGTACCGTGATCGTCGGGTCCAGTCGCGCCGCGGCTTTCATTGCTTTTCGACCTTTCTTCCCTCCCTTCTTTGCGCTGAGCGGGTCGGCCGCTGCTGCAAGACGGGCCAGCTCGCGATTGCGCTTGTACTCGGCCTTCTTGCCTCGGTCTCGGTCCCACTGCTCTTGCAGCTCATGCGGGATGTCCTGCCGTTTCTGTTTACCACGTTCTAATGTGGTGGTCAGTGAGATGCCAGCGAGTGTGGTCATGACTTACTGGCTGGCAAGTAGAACTCGTCCAAGTCAACCAAATCCCCGCTGACCATCGCACTCAGCAGTTTCTTCCGTCCGCGCCGGCCAGTACTCTCCAGGATGTCCTGAAGTTGGTCAGCAAGCGGCAGGAAACGATTAGACAACCCCGCACCTCAAGCTCAGCCCAGTTCGCATCGGTAAAGTGACCTTGCAGGTCATCCTCTTCGTCAAAATCGATGTCGTCCATCAGTTCAAGGCTGTCGTCAACTTGTCTGGACTGTGCAGCCTTGCGCACCCGTTCCAGACGGGCTTGAAACCCGGCCCTGGGGCTTTGGTCAAAGTCATCGTCTTCACTGGAGTCCTCCTCAGGGTCGTCGCTCTCCCCAAGCATAAGATCTTCCTCTGCATCCATTGCGGCATCCAGATCCCCATCCTCACTGTCCGCATCCCCCTCACTGCCTGCATCCCCGTCGTCACTGCTGTTCCCCGCACCGCCTTCCTCGTCATCTTCGTCCTGCATTCTCTGCTCGATAGCCAGATCTTCTATCGTCTTCCACTCGCCATTCATGCCACTCGCAAAGCTGCGCATTGCGGCAACATCGAGCTCGATTTCTGGGTCGACCAGCATGCCGTGATCCTCGGCGTCACCCTCCCCGTCCGAGTCACCCCAATCCAAATCCGAATCACCCCTGCGGCGTTCCTCCCACCGCTCATCCTCATCCTGCAATCTCGCTTCCTCCGCCCTCGCTCCAAAGAGTCCGAAAGACCGCCCAGCTCTTGCGCGTTTCTGCGCCCGGCGCGTCAGCCCGCGGGTCTTCAGCTGAGCTTTGTTCCGCCCGTGGGCCGTGAACGCCGGTGCTTGACGTCTGGGCGTCTTTGGCTTCACCTGCGATGCGAACAGCACCGCACCGGTCACTGCCGAAGTCGACGCCAGGGGAAGGGGCGACGGGGTGCGGGCCGGTGGTGTGGGAGGCAGTGATCGCTGCATATTGCTTTTGCGTGGATGGGGTGCCACGTACACGATGATTTCGTCGTCTTCGTCTGGGATTGTGCGTGTCGGCTTGGCGTGAAACGAGTCTAGAGCGCCGGTGCCTGAGGCTTGTAACACATCTGGCACTGCCGTCGCAGCCGTGTCCACAAAGAAGAGCGGAGGATCCTCTGGTAGTTGATCGACACTACCCTCGTGGTCGTTCAATACTGTTTCTGGAATCACGTCTTGGAGGGATAGAGCATCTGGTAGCGTAGCAGTAGCTCCCTGAATGATTCGATTGTTGAGGAGGATCCCAGTGAACTTTTCCTCCACAACCTCCATCTCGCTCGGCCCCACATGCGGCTCTGCGGTGGAGAGCTGCTCAGCAAACTTGCCGAGATCCGCGAAATCGATCTGTTGCAGACCGTCATCCTCATCCTCATCGTCGACTTCAAAACGAGGGATATCGATGCCACTGAAGATTCGGGTGACGCGATCGGCGGTGGGTACGTGGCTGGTTTCCTCGTCATCTTGTGACCAGCCGATGAGCGAATTTACGACAAACAGTAGAGCGAAAATGCGCACCAACGACCTCCTCGACCACGGGCCGAAGAAGATCTTCCTCCTCCTGAAATAGCGTCGGCTGGAGGGATGCTCGAACAAACTTGATAGGCCGCAAGAACGGTCGTTCCTCGATGAGAAGCTGGGAGAGCGGTGCCGCCGGATTGAATCGCGCTCCGAAGCCACTTCCGCCTCGCGAGGAGTTGTAGCCCCGACCGCGCCCCCGCCCCGATGAGGACTCCACACCCCGAGGCGATCCAATTCCGCGTCCACGATAACCACGGGGGATGGGGGAATCGGTGCCCCGGCCACGGCCACTCTCGAAACCTGGGCCGCCTCGGCCCCGACCACGCCCGCGTGGTGTCCAGACACCGGATTCGCCGACCCTGTTGGAGTCTGCTCCAACGTCTAGATGGCGTGAGCTGGCCAATCGGCGATGGCGTTCTGGAAGAACGTACGGTTTTGAAGCACGGAAAAGTCTATCGCTTCAAGGAATTCTTGTGAAGACCCTAGTCCTCCACCCCGGCCACGAGCGCGACCACGAAATCCTCTTCCTTGTCCTCGTCCTCCTCTCCCCCTTCCGCGGCTCGGAGTGCCCTGCTTCCCACCTCTTCCTCGTCCCTGATTGTGCCCGCCTCGGTCCATGTAGCGTTGATAGCTCCGTTGCAGAGGAACAGGGTGTATGGATTCCGGATGTGCGTGATGCACAATAGATATGAGTAGATGATAAGTCTGCACGTAGGACGAGCTCAGGAGTCAAAAGCGGAGCCGTGACCAGCCGTCGGCAGAATAATTGATCCGTCAGTCTGCTCACGTCGCAGCTACTAACTCTGACTCGGATTTCCGAAATCTCCCATTTGCCAAGCGCATCGAGGATGAAGACTCGTATTCGGGACTTCGAGCCACAGCTTTTGAAGATTTCTGTGCATCTGGATCCAAGACCGATGTGTGCTCACACTGGCTGTAAGGATACTTATATTAGGTGATACATTTGATCAGTGATCCGACTCAAATGTTGTCTCTGCTGCACTGATGCGTCGAGGTAGTTCTCTTACGTTGTAGGGAATTGTGATGCAAATAGTATCCAGGTTGCAAGAAAATCAAACTGTTGTCAGATACGGCGTGCCACAGAAGGCCTTCTCGTCTCCAGCAATCAGCTTTTGCGCGACCGACTTCTTGATAATGCCCGTAGGGTCATGACATAGAAAATACCCTGGGCGTTTCCCAGGCACGCGGTGATCATGAACAGCTCGTTTTTCTCACTCACTGCGAGCAGTAGAACGTTCTCGGAGGGCGGAAAGAAGAATTCAGAAGAAGGACCTCGGTTCAGCTAACCCTGGACCCGTTGATATAATGGCATTCGTCAGTTAGAATTCCATTTTCATGCAGTCTCTCCTGCACACGACAGCTAGTTTTTGAACCGCGTCTTGAAATAGCCTCAAGTGAGATACAATCAAGCGCAGCCATCCTGGTGAATAAGAAAGTATGCGCGACTAGAAGAATTAAATTCTTCGTTTCTTATATCTGACGAGTATCTTCGAGAACCTGGCCAGCAACTTGCATTCGATGGGACAAACGAATAAGCATACTGTAGATGACCACGCTCACAATTTCGCGGAATCTACATGACGTCCTCCTTCACGAAGCCGAGTTCAGAGTGCTCGACTTATCGGTTCTGATTCGCCTGCGGCATCTGAGATCGTCGACCCGATTCAGACTGTACGGTCTATCAGGCATGTTCTTCGCCTTCTGCAACCCTCTTCGCTCGAGAGTCTCTCTCCTTCGCTTTCTATCGGATCGGAGAAACTTCTAGCTTATCTGAATCGGAGCAACGTCAATATCGGCACATGGGGCGAAGGAGATGACGAACAGGCCGGGACCAGGACCACGGCTCGATGGGCTTCGTCGGCGGACCCGAGTCTGACTAGCGCACGAGGAGAACAAGGAAAATTTCTGAAGACTTCGTTCCAACATCGGTGGTGGATAGAAGAGAATGCTTCATACGGGGCGAAAGTTTCAAAAGTATGGACATTTACGTTCAGGAGCATGGCGTGATACACCGAATATTTAGACGTCCCAAGATTTCAACTGTTTTCGCTGGGAAACACTACCGGGCTTGGACCCTAATCAGGCAGCGAGATGGATCGCGTTGATATCCCCTGCTCTGAGTTGAAGAGGGGAAATCACGATTCCCGTCAGAGATGAATGGAATTGCAAATTGGATCAGAGTTGTGAGTTGTTATAAAGCTTGATCTGTTCAGGGACGGATTTCTGTACGGAATTGAATGCGAATCGGAGAGTATCAACTTCCGTTCGATAACAATTAAAAACTCGGAACAAAAACTTATCGCTTGCATGACAGATGCATCGAAACCCACATATACCCCCTGAAATCTGTTCTGTGACGAGAGCCACAGTCTATAGAGCTCAGAGCGAATGTACGAACAAGATCCGTTTAGTTGACGAGACAGCTCCAACGTGCGCCGAGTGTATTGTTTAGTCATGTCGCGGAAAGTATACTTGGATTGAGAAGCAGCTCCTTGGCCTCGTGTCCTCGCTGTTATCTGCTTATGTCATGTTATGGGAATTTGCCGGATTCGCAAGTCGCCACGTGCCTATTTATACACCATTATCCGCGACATGATCTGGTTCGAACTATGTAGGTCACGCACCGAAGGAAAGGCTTTCTCACCCGTCTGCGTCTTGTCCGAAAGCCCCTCTTCGTCCCACTGCCATGCACCGTCTTCCAATCCAACCACTCGTCCGGCTCATAGAGTAATATCACAGGTGGGGCAATACGCACGGAATGCGGCGAAATGATGGGGCATGCGATTGAATGTCATCTCCGATTGTCGACCAGGAACCGATAAGTCGGAAGCGCACTGTGCAATTGAGTTCCGAAGTCCGTCCAGTACATAAGCAGCAAGTTTCTATCTGGTTATCGCCAGAGGCGCATTCTTCCCTGTGCTCTCCCTTCTCTGCTCTTCGCAGTCAGCCATGCCGCAAGACCAGCAGATCGATGCTGCCGTCGCGCAAATCACCATGCCCGATGTCGCGATCCTCACCTCCACCGAATATGCCGATAACCGCACCGAGAAACGCGACTCTAGCTACGACGAGAAGGGCTCGGTGTCCGATGTCGAGAAGGGGGCAGAGCCATTTGCGCACGGAGACGATGTAGTGGATGTCAAAGGTGATCATCCAGCGTTGGTTTCCGACGTGCGCCGCTCATCCTGGCTCAGGTGATGACGATGATCCCGCGTATGCCTCACTCCCTCGCATCGTTCGCGAGCTCTGCGACTTCGAGGATGATCCATCAACTCCCGTTCTCACTTGGCGGTGCGCGCCACTTCTGCCCGCATCCAGCGCGTGGTTCCGATAATTGACAGGTTTTACTTCCTGTCCGCGGTGTTCACGGCACTGGGCGCCTGGCTCACGCAGATGGGTTTCTTTCGGGTACGTGCTTGCTACTGGCGACGATGTTCGCCGGCGCTCAATCGGCTTCCAGACGACCTATGTCCCTTACTCCAGTATGGAATCCGCCACTATCTATCCCACGCAGCTCATCTCCACCGCTCAGTCTACTTTGTTCAGATAGCCAGTCTCTACTTCGGGAAGTTATTCGCATCGGCTTTCCCTGCAAAGCAGGTCGGGTTCGGTAAATGGACCTTCAACTTGGTAGATATTTCCGTACTTCGCTGTCATGGATGCTTATCTCGGTATCTGTCAGAACCCTGGTCCCTTCTCCATCAAGGAACATGTCGCCATCGTCCTTGCGTATGTTGCGGCTCGTCATTCGCTCGCCTTGTGTGCTGATTTTTACGACTCGTAGCGCGAACACTGGCGCGACAAACAACCTCGGGGACTATGTACTGTCCCCATTGGCTGTATATTACAATCAGCCGATGAATGGATGGCTCGCTATCTTATTCATGTGGAGTTGTGTCTTCATTGGCTTCTCGCTCGCGACGCTGTGCCGAAGTTTTCTCATCGACAATCCTAACACGGTCCGTAACCCGTCTCTGGTCCCGGCTCGCAAATCGCTGACGATTCTCTTCAGATGTTCCCTCTCACGCTCCAGCAAGTCTCTGTGTTCAACGCCATGCGCTCCAGTTTCGAGATGAACAGCGCCACCGCAAAGAAGCAAATGCGCGTGTTCTGGTACGGAATTCTGATCTTTTTCCTCTGGGAGGTCAGTGCACGCTGATTTCTAGCCAATTCGTTCGGTGTCTGACCATGTCGGCAGTTCTTGCCGGAGTATATCTTCCCGTTCACTTCGTCGCTCGCGTTCCTGTGCTGGGTAACGGACGATCCCATCGCGAACTTCCTCGGATCGGGTCTTGGCGGCGCGGGCCTTCTCAACTTCACGCTCGACTGGTCCAACATCGGGTCCTCACTCATCTACTACCCATTCTGGGCCCAGGTCAATACTTTTGTGGCCTTCGTCATTGGCGCATGGATCCTCGTGCCGATCGGCGCGATCAATGGCAAGTGGGATGATGCGCTGTATCCTATGCAGAGCCAGTTATTGTATCTCACGAACGGCTCTCGCTATCCTACTTCCAAGCTCATGAACCCCGACTACACGCTGAACGAAGCGTTGTTTGCGGAGATTGGTGCACCCAAGATGAGCGCTCAACTGCGTTGGGGATATTTCTTCTCGTGCGTTATCGATCTCCCTGTACACCGCCCGACGCTGACTGGCTTCGCAGCTACGTTGCATATCTCGGCTCTTTCATGTCGTTGGTTCTCTTCCAGGGTCCACTGCTGACGAAAACATACCGCTCGTTACGTGCGGGCAAACGGCAATCCGATGATAAGCTGTGCCAGCTCATGGAGGCCTACCCCACTGTTCCCATCTGGTGGAATCTAGTCCTGTTTTTCGTTCCTGCCGCCATCATCATCGCACTCGCTGCCACTGGCGAGCTGTATCTGCCGTTATATACTGTGTTCGTTGCGTTCGGCTTCGGTATCGTGATCGTGATCCCTATGGCGTATATCTATGCGGTCTCCGGGTACCAAGTTCCCGTCGGGTCAATGCTTCCATCTTGAGCCATATCGGTCTGCGCGCTGACGTTTTCTGCAGATATTTCAACGAACTGCTTTATGGTTATCTCATCAACGCGGGTGGCTCTCGTCACCCAGTTGGGTCTCTTTCGTACCGCACGATTTCCGGGCAATGTTGGTACGAAGCCTGCAGCATGCTTTCGGATATGAAGCTGGGACATTACGTGTGTATCACCTGTCGTTTTGTGCTACTTTCGTTGCTCAGAGCATTCACATTTCAGTTCCACATTCCGCCTCGTGCTACACTGATTGCTCAGATATGGGGTATCCTCGTTGGCGTCCCTATCAAGTACGGCCTCTTTTCTGCTCGTCTTATCCCTAGCCTGAACCCGAATTTTTGTCTAGCTACGCCACCATTCTTTGGATTGTCAACACAAAGGGCCATTTCCTCGATGGCTCTGCGATCGATCCAAACAACCAGTGGACCGGTTCGACAGTCATCTCCCTCAACAACCAGGGCATTTCATTCGCTCTTGTCGGGCCGAAGGTGTGTTTCCAGGCAATCACATTGCCCGCGACCCCAGCCTAATTTTGTTCATCTAGAAATTATTTAACGACCCGATGTACTCCATCCTTCCGTATGGCTTCCTTGTTGGGGCAACCGTGCCGGTCATTCTCTGGCTGCTCCACCGACGGTTCCCCAAGGCCCGCTTCGACCTGTGGAATGTTCCCGTGAGTAGCCAACT